AGGCAGGACAATAGGCCAGGGAACATCCGGGAATGGGAAGCTTAAAGACAGCGGACGGCGCAGGCCATGGGCTGAGGGACGTGCAGACTCCCACATGTGCAGACTCCCACACTTTAAAAAAAAATCTTTTTATTGGGGGCTCATACAATTTCCATCACAATCCATACATACATCCATTGTGTCGAGTACATATGTACATTTGTTTCCATCATCATTCTCAAAACACTTGCCTTCCACCTGAGCCTTTAATATCGGGTGCTCACCCCCCCCCATGAACCCTTCATAATTCACAAATTAATATTATTTTGTCATATGTTACACTGTCTGACGGACTCCCCTGCCCTTTTTCTGCTGTCCATCCCCCAGGGAGGAGGCTATACGTAGATTCTTGTAGTCGGTTCCCCCTTTGTACCCCACATTCCCTCCACTCTCCAGGCATTGCCACTCTCACCACTGGTCTTGAAGGAGTCATCTGTCCTGGATTCCCTGTGTTTCCAGTTGCTATCTGTACAATGTACATCCTCAGGTCTAGCATATAACTTTTAATGTATATTGTGGGTACTCAGAATTTGTGAAAAGCTGCTCTGGGGGATGGAGGCTGGTCTAGTGGCTGTTCTTCCAGGTACATTCTGTGGCTGGGGCCCTGCCTCCGAGGTGCTTCTGGGAGGCTGCTGTGAAGGTGACCCTGAAGCCAGCAGTGGAAGCTGTGGGCAGTATTGATGTCCCTGCTTCCTTCCCTTAATGGCCCTTAAAAAAAAAGTTCTTAATAGTGTTTTTGAGCAGCTCTTATTTTGAATGTTGGTTGTGCGCCTTGAAGCCGTCTTTCACAGTATGAATTCTGTATGCCTGTGGGGCCGTCCTTCATGGGTGAAATCCATTTTTAATCTTTAAGTCGGTGGTTTAGGCTACCAGTCCTGCCATGCTCTCTGATCCCTGCCGCTGTGCTGTGCCTGATGAAGCCAGGTCCGAACCCTTCAAACACTTCACATGAAGAGCAGGCTTGAGCCTGTAACGGACTCTGCTGCTCAGTTGTGGGTCCCCCTGCCCCTCCATTGACGCAATGCAGGGGATCTAAAAGACAGCAGCCTCAGCCGCCAGCAGGGTACAGTCAGGCTTCTTCATGTCCCTCGTGGCAGCTCGGCTAGCCAGCAGCACACCAGAGAGGGAGCGATTCTAGTGCTGCTTCAGGCCAGAGGGTCAGCTCAGCATCAAACCAACTGAACGCGTTGGCCTCAGACCCTGGACTGGCACAGCACAGAGAATGAGCACCGGGAAAGTCCTTCCCAACGTTATTATTTCCCACAGGTTAATTGTAGGGTTTGATCACTCTAGGCACTCACTGGGCCCCTTGAGAGCTGTGATGTGTATTCACAGCCAGACGTGGCTGCTACACCCAGCAGAGAATTGGAGAGAAACCCCTGACCTTTTACACACAGGATCACGGTCCAGTCTGGGGGCCAGACAGCTGCAAGCCCGGCTGACTGTGGCCATTGTCCCCCGGCCGCTTGCCCTGTCTCTGTTTCCACAGCTTCAGCTGCGGGAAGAAGCATGGCTTGTCTGTGTCGTCCCTTCAGTGTGGGCTGGGAACAGCACACTGAGCTGGCAAAATGGAGTGAGGCACTAACTATATGCTCTGTCTTTTTACACCCACTCTTACATTCCTGAAGGAAAGAGTCAGGGGAAGTGGCTTTCTTGAGAAGTAGTTCCGGGTTAAGGATTTTAGAGGACTACCAAGTAGTGGTAAGCGGGACCTGATCATAGGGGCATGGGATGCAGGCCTGGGGTTGGCACACAGCCCTCCAGGTTTCCTGTGTGACCACGGGCAGTCTAGAAATCCCATATACAACTTAACCCAGGGGGCTTGGCAAGCCCCAGGGGAGAAACTGGCCTTTCAATGGCGCCCAAAGGCGTGGTGTATTTGCATTGGGAAATTGTTTTCTTCGAGGATAACCTGGTTTGAGGTGATGGGGCTGTATCCCGGAGCAGAGACAGAGTCCAGTCGGGCCAGCCTCCCGACCTGAGCCTCCCTATGGTTAGTCTGCAGCCTTGGAACCCTGATATTTAAAGCAGGATAATGTACTTGGACTTTACCTCTAACTTACCAAAGTGGAGACTTTCCTACTGTGGAATACTAGCTTTCCAGAGTCCCTCTAAGTTACGGAATATAGTCCTCATCATATTTCCTTCAGCGTTAGTTTCACACTGCCCAGGGTTTCCAAGGCTGTGATATTTGCAGAGGCATGGCCATATCTTTCTCCCTCAGAACAGCTGGTATGTTTGAAGTGCCAGGCTTCTGATTGGTGGTTTAGCGCTTGACCACTGCATCACCAGGACCCCTGCCTGTAGTTAGGACTTCACATACGGATTATTTTATCCAGGCGTAAACAACCGCTACCTGCCCGCCCACACAGAGTTCCTGTAACCCTCCAGTGAGAGGCGGGCAGACGATGGTAGGGTCTGGAAAGCACCTTCCAGGTTGAGAGACATGAGCATTGAGCATGCGGGACAGATCCACATCCTCATAGGTACAGGGACCTCTGTTTTAAACCCCCGTTCCTGCCTCCCCACAGGGTAACCACTAACCGTCCTGTCTTGGTGGGTTCACCTGTTGTAGCTATTTCGTACTTGTCCTTTTCTTTCTCACTGATGTCACTCCGTGTGCTTTTAGGGCTCGGCCATGTGGTAGCTGAATGTACTCCATTGTATGGACAACCGTATGCTGTTTCTCCTGTGGTCTTTTTTCAGACCCTTGGACATACTATTGTACATTTTGATTTTATAAAATCCACATCACCTCTTTCTAGCTTAGGTGGTTCATGTATTCACGCAACAAACCTTTGTTACAACTGATGTGACAGACCTACCCCTGCTCCTGGGAGGGTAGTAGCTGAGTGAAGCAAGCCAGGTGGAATAGAACGGTACGACGAGAGAGAGCCTGGGTGACCATGCCATCTTGGCTGTGACCTGAGGGACGACCAGGCATTAGAGACGTCCTGCCAGGACGACCAGGCAGGAGAGAGCAGGAGCCTGGGCCTCGAAGTCCGATAGACCCAGTGGAAATCCAAAATTTGCCACAGCTTAGACTTTGGGCATTCTGGCCATACTTCTTCCAAGACAGATTTGGGGTTTTTTGGGCAGTCCTTGGAAAAGGACATCATGCTAGGTGAGGCAAAGGGCAGCGATAAAGAGGAAGACCTTCAAGAAGCTGGACTGACACAATGGCTACAATCATGGGCACAAACAAAACCATGGTGGTGAGGGTGGCAGAGGGCCAGGCAGTGTTTTACTCTATTGTCCACTCAGTGACCCCTTACAGTCACCGCTCTCCTCAGCTGTAAAATCCCAGGGTGTGGCAGAAGTAAAGAGGAGACCACGTGAGGGGCTTGGGACGGAGGCTAGGGTTGGAGGCTAGTTTCTCCTCCTCACTGCGCCAGGGTCCCCGGGCGGGCATGCAGTACACTTGACTGCTCCCGGAAAGGCGGGTGGTCTAGTCCACCCCGAAAGGCTTGGCCAGCTACTGGAAAACCAGCCATTGAAACCCCTCGGGAGCACTGTTCAACCCTGTCACACAGGGCTTATGGAGGGCAGCAGCAGCTGGTGTCAGTGATCGCAAGTGTTTCTAAGTGATATGTTTTGTGTTTTCAGTCGAGGTTCCCGTCGAGCTATTTCTAGACAAACTGTTCAGTGACATTGGTGCCCCTCTCCACAATGTGTGAACGAGCACTCTCAAGATTTCTGTTTGATGGTTTCATATTCATTCCTCCTTCTCGGCCCACCTATGTACTAATACAAGTATTTTTTAAACCATACACTTCAGATTTGTGCATTTTGACACATACAAATGATATCTCCTTCAAGTTCAGTTGACATGGGGAGAAATCATTGTGGCTCAAGCACAGGGTGGGACCGGGCCCTGGCAGATGTGTGGCAGGTGAGCAAACCAGGGGTGGAGGACAGGCAGCGTCCGGCCTGGGGGTTAGTAAGGGAGGAAGCCAGGATCAGAGATCCCAGCTCCAAGTAGCTGTGCTCACATGTTGGCACTTTGGTTTCAATGTCTGTGTTTTGGCCCGCCGACTTTCATGCACTCAAATGTGATCAGGGGTAGGGTCTTGCTGAAACAAACAAATGGTGATTCACAATAGACGTGCCATGAAGAATTTCTTGGTTCTTGGTTGAGTTTCCTTGTGTTTTTTTTCTTTTTGAGGGGGGAGGTGGGCAGCCATGGGCTATAAGCTTCTGCTAGATCTTTAACAAGAAGAAAAGAAAATGATAGTGTAGGAAGGAGGAAATTGAGGATAAAGGGGGAGGAGAAACCACAGGTGGTGCCTTGATGTGGCCACAGCAGCTGGTAATTCTGAAAAGGGAGGAGGGAGGTTTGGAGCCCTAGGGTGAGGCTATTCAGTGGTAGAAGTTTCACCTTCCTTGCTAGTACACCTCAGCACAGCCCCCACCCATGTGTCAGTGGAGATAGGGTGTGTGACAATGGTGCCGAAGAGGTTTCGATCACAGCAGTCCGAGCTGCGACCAGTCGTGGGGCTAGTGCAGGCAGGGCCCTGTCTCTCTGTTTGGACAAGGGGTTGCTGTGAGTCGGTGCAGCCCTTGGTTGCTCATGGAAAGTTCAGCAGTCAGAACCCCAACAGCTCTGCGGGAGAAAGGCCTGGCAACCTGCTCCTATACATTTTTCAGCTTAGAAAATCTGACGGGGCCATTGTACTCTGTCACCCGGGGTCCCTGTGAATCAAAATCAATGCAGCCGCCCCTGGACGTATCAACAGCAGGACTACATGTAATGAACCAGTTATAAAGATGAACAGTGAGTGGAGGTTCTCAGAAGGTTCCGTTCTCGTGGCTGCAGCCTCTACCAGTACGTTGAGCCTTGTGTGGTGGGCAGGGTTGGTTTTGGCATCCTGAATAACAGGCACGGGCTCAGGCTCACATTGCGTTAGAAGCGCAGGTCTTCTGATTTTACTAACCGGGGCTTTTTGGTTTCCCCCCATCAGGGATGGATGAATGAGATCCACAGCTATGATCCTGAAACTTACCATGCAACTTTGACGCATTCAGTCTTTGTTCGGCTTGAAGGCGGGACATTGAGACTTTCGAAGCCCAATAAAAACATATCCAGGAGGGCGAGCTACAACGAGACCAAGCCAGAGGTCACCTACATCAGCCAGAAGATCTATGACCTCTCCGACAGCAAGGTGAGCCCAAGTGCTCTTGGAAGGAGAGCTGAGCAGATTCTTGGTTGCTTTACTCTTTTTTCCCTCTGACTGTAAGTATTCCTATGGGAGCCCTGGTGGCATAGAGGTTAAATGTTGGGCTGCAGTCTATTAAGGTCAGCAGTTTGAAACCAACAGCTGCTCTTTGGGAGAAAATGGGGCTTTCTACTACATAGAGAGCTACAGGGGCAGTTTTAGCCTGACCCATAGGGTCACTGCGAGTTAGCATCGACTTGATGGCAGTGAGTTTTATAGTAATATTAATACCGGGTCACAAGTAGACAGGCAGAGGAAAAGAGGAAGGTCCTCAAGGAGATGGGATGACACAGTGGCTGCAACAAGGGGCTGGAGCACAGGACCAGTTGTGAGATGCACCGGACCAGGCAATGCTTCGTTCTGTTGTGGTATGGTCACTGTGGGTCAGAACTGCTTAGTGGCACCTAACAGTAACACAATTTAGGATCAAACCAAACGTACTGCCGTTGAGTCAGTGGTGACTCATCTTGACCCTATAGGACAGGGTAAAACTGCCCCGGGGGGATTCCAAAACCATAACTCTATAGGAGTAGAAAGCCTCATCTGTCTCCTAAAGAACAGCTGGTGGTTTGAAACTGCCCACCTTGTGGTTAGCAGCCCAACAAGTAACCACTACGCCACCAGGGATTCTTATAGAACATTATCTCTCAAATGGAATCCTAGGGTGACACAAGTGGTAAGTGCTGGACTACTTACCAAAAGGTTGGTAGTTCAAACCAACCCAGAGGCACCTCAGAAGTAAGGACTGGTTAGTGATCCTCCAAAAAATCACAGCATAGGAAAAAGCCCTGTTGTATTGAACGCAGTTCGGGGCAGACTGAGGGCCGCCCTGAATCAGAGCTGACAGGATAGCGGCCTCCAAACACCCACATTCCTCCCAAGCTTTAACTGGCATCATGCTGCTCTACTCTAGCACATATGTGAATCACCTGACCACCCTTTGAAATGCAGATTTGATGTCATCAGCTCTGGTTGGGGCCTGAGTGTGCATTTTTGTGAGCTCCAGGCAATCCTCCAGCTCCTGGCCTGGATCAGACTTTGGGGAGCGAGGGCATCTTACGATCTTCTGACTGACAGTAAATTGTCCTCCTTGAAGCACAGTGCGATGTGTGGCAGTGCTAGGGTAATGCCTAATGCAGCTTTGGGAATGGGGAAACGACATGCAGAGTAGCTTGCATTTGAGGAAAGGTACCACCGACTTACGTTTAAGAGAAAGGACAATTACTTGCCCTTCTACAAAGCTAGAGGTGCCCTCTGTTGTTATGGCTCATCTGAATGGTCTTTTATCCCCAAAAGGGATAGAAAGTTTAAAGCATTTTTTATATAAATGTGCTTGTCTTTAGAGCTTCCTGACTAGTTTGATGAATATTTTTCCCAGCTTACATTCAATAAGGTTATTAAACTTAGATGATAGCCTGACTCCGTTGATGATGATTAACTAAACCAGTGGTTCTCAACCTGCCTAATGTTGTGACCCTTTAATACAGTTCCTCATGTTGTGGTGACCCCCAACCAAAAAATTATTTTTGTTGTTACTTCATAACTGTAATTTTGCTACTGTTATAAATCGTCATGTAAATATCTGATATGCAGGATGTATTTTCATGGTTACAAATTGAACATAAAGCATAGTGAGTCATCACAAAACAATCATTACATATTGTGAAATATTTATTTCTAATGACAAATACATAAAATTCTGTCTTGAAGCATGGTGTAGCATGGGTAACAGTCTTCACGCCGGGTACTGTATGTGGGCACATCTGCATGTGGGCAGACCCGCCTGGAGGCGGATAGAGGAGCGGTGTCTCGGTTCCTAAGACCATGGGAGATAGGTGTTTTCTGATAGTCTTAGGTGACCCCTGTGAAAGGGTCATTCGAACCCCAAAAAGGGGTCATGACCCACAGGTTGAGAACCACTGAGCTAAATATTCATAGTGCTGTTTTTGAAAATATAAATATTTGTCATTTAAAGAATTTTTCTTGAACAACATGCTTTCTGGAATGAGTTTAAAGAAGTCATTTCTAGAAATGTATTCTGGTTTCTATAGTCACGAGGTAGATGCTTCATAAAAGTGATTCTACATCATTTGAATAAAAAATACTATAAATATGTATTTGTGGTAGACATAATACTATTAACACAGTATAGCCAATCTTATGATTTAATATGTAAGTCATCATTTCCCTTTCTCTATAGATTTATCTTGTACCTAAAAGTTTGGCTCGAAAACGAATCTGGAATAAAAAGTACCCCATTTGTATTGAGCTTGGTCGACAAGAAGATTTTATGTCTAAGACTCAAACTGATAAGGAAATGACAGAAGAGAAGCCACCAGCTGAGAAAGAGCTGGCAGGCGAGGACCCTAAGAAGCCCCCTCAGGAGGGAACAAAATGCAGCCAGCGAGATCAGATCCTGTATCTGTTTGGGAGAACTGGCCGAGAGAAAGAAGAGTGGTTTAGAAGATTTATTCTGGCATCTAAACTGAAGTTGGAGATGAAGAAGCCACCTGGTGCCCCTGGAAGTAAACCAGGTGTGTACCTGTGTGCTGAATACTTACGGAGATTTTAGGGTCTTCAAGAGAAACTGGAAGGGTTCCAAGGGAGAGAGTAGGGAGGAAGCCCACCCTGAGTTGGTCACCGCTAGCTCCCTCAGGCATGTTCTCATGAAACTTGCCTTTCAGACTGATGGCTGTACCCTTGGCTACCCGATCATTTGACGTAGGTGGGGTTATGTGTAGATGTGGGTTTCTGCTTTGTTTTTCTACACCGTGACTCCTTTGAGAGAAGAAGCAAAAGGAGAGCCTTCGATATGGGAAGGCAGTAAGTCAGGACAATGTATCAGGGACCGTCTCGAGCGCCTGACCTCCCACCAGTCCTCCGAGCCACCAGCCTTCTGTCTCTGCATTCCACTGGGCGCCAGGCAGCACCTCCTCTCAGCTCTGCCCAGGCTTTGAGGGGCACAGAAACACTACAGTTTAAGCAACAACACCCCTGCCTCTCAGGTGCTGTGCGTGTGAGACAAAATTGACCTACATGAGTCAGATGTTAGCAAACTGCTAAGCTAAATTGAGCGTGGTGCAACCAGTCATTACAAGGAGATCAGAGGAGGAGATCCGCGCGGGTGTTGTTGGGGAAAGCTCTCTCGGATGGAGTATCACTCTGGGCCTTCACCCAACAGACCTTGTGGATCACGAAGTTGTGGGCCACATGAGAGTCAAACACTGAACCGATTGCTTTGGTTGGTGGAGATGGCCTGGCTCCTGCTCCGGGGCATTTGCCGACCTACCGCTCCATCAACCTTCAGCACCAGCACCCATCCTCATCCTTAAACTGAGCTCTGAGATGCCACTTGGAAATGCCCAAGACCTGTAAAATCAGGATGAGTAGGGAGGTACTGGGTAAAAGAAAATTTAAGTGAGACCTTTGTTTCCTGAAGGTCTAAACTTAATCAAATGTGGTGGTCCCTGGCCGGGTGTGGCTCTTGAGCACTGGGATGTAGTCTGTCCACATTGAGGTGTGCTCCAAGTGTAGCGTCCACAGCAGGCTTCAAAGACTTGGTACCAAAACAAGGCAGAAAGAAAGTAAATTATCTCAATACTTTCTATGCTGATTATATATTGAAATGATAACCTTAGGTTTTTTTGTTTACTTTTTTAACCTGGCTACTGGGGAATGTCCCACTTCCTGCATGGCCCCCGTTTGTGGCCCATATCTGACTTCTCTTGGACGGCGCTGGACTAGGCACCGGAGCTCAGAGCTGAGTGACCCACAGGAAATGTAGGGACACCAGGAAATGCCAGCTGAGGTGCTCATGGGCCACTGAGAGCAGCTGTCAAACAGCAGGTCCTTTATGGACTTCACCCAAGCATTTGGTTTGTGCTTTCAGAAATCCCGCCTAAGTTTCCCAGGAAGGATCTTGGTGTCATCAAGGGCCATTGTCCTTGAACTGTACCGAGCACTGGCTGTTCCCATGTGCTCTCCCACTCAAAGGACATTTGACAATGCATGAAGAGACTGTTCTGGGGGCAGCGAACACCAGCCAAGCCACAGAATAGGGTTTCTCTCCCCGTGTCGGGAGAGAAGGAACCCCCGTGGTGTGGTGGTTGGCTGCTAGCCGAGATTGGCATTTCAAATCCTCCAGTGGCTCCATGGGAAGGACCACGTGATCTGATCCCATCATGCTCTGTCCTATAGGGTCTGCATGAGTCATAACCAACTCGACTGCACACAACCAGGAGAAGGAGGCATCTCTCTGGACTCAGTCATGAGTGGATGAGTTTGATTTGAAGTTCTCACATCTGTGGGTAGTGACTGAGTCTGAGAAGGTTAAGCAATGTAAAACCTCTTCCTCCTCTCAAATGATGGCCGTTGTCTAGCTAAATATCAATGAAACATCTCATGTGGCCCTTTGGGAAGCCCTGGGGAATTACAGACCATAGATGCACCTGGAACCTCAAAAAATAAAATGATTCAGTGTGGTTACTGGTGGTGCTGTTAGGTAAGCCTTAGACTGATAACTGTGACGTCAGCAGTTCAAAACCACCGCTGCTCCTCCAAAGAAAGATGAGGCTGTCTGCTCTAACAAAAGATTTACAGCCTCAGAAACCCTAACTAGGGCCATTGCTACGATTTGGAATTAACGCAGTGGGTTTGGGTTGTTTATTTAGGTCCTTCACCTGGTCTCAGGCAAACCTAAGAAAATGTGTCTGCATCAGGCACAGCCCATGCCCTGGTGGCATAGTGGGTTATGCATTGGGCTGCAATCCATAAGGTCAGCAGCTCAAAACCACCAGCTGCTCCCCAAGAGAAAGACGAGACTTTGTACTCCTGTAAAGAGTACAGTCTCAGAAACTCCCAGGGGCAGTCGTGTAGGGCCACGGTGAGTGGACTGGATGGCAGTGAGTTTGTTTTAGTTCCTGTTTTGAGGGCCAGTGGTATAACTCCCAGCGTACCACTGTGGAGGCAGTGGTGTCATGTGTTCCCTGCCAGCCTCTCCAACCTCACTTCTCCCTGGCCCCCATGTACCCCAGGCTCTGTCATTCCTGTCTGCATATGCTGTTTCCTCTACCTGGAATGTTCTTCCTGCACCTGGGCCAGCAAAATGCCAGCTATCCCTCCAGGGGTAGTCCTGAGGTCACCGCCGGGGGAAGTTGGCCTTGGCTCTCTGGGCATTTAGTCACACACCCTAGAACACTCCCCAAACCCCCCCCCCCCCCCCCCCCCATTTTCCTGCTCTGAAAGTTTTAGCCATGTATCTGTTGTGATCCTTATTTCAGGAAATTGTGATTTCACTGCCAAGGTGTCTGAACTTCAGGGCAGGGATTATGCCCAGTTCTGGTGCAGAGAAAGTGCTTGATGAGTGGAAGATCACTGTGTGTTTGGAATTGTCCTGAGAGATGAACCAACACTTAGTGGCCATCTGCTCACTAGCACCCCCAGGTCGTCCGTGAGGCACCAGGCAAAAAGAAAAAGATACCTTCCCACTGCATTTCATTGTCCCCCCAGACCCTGAATTGTCTTGGAGATGAAGGAGAACTTTCTAAACAGTACTTAGGGTTAGAACAAAAGGCACTTCACAGGGCTGGAAATAGCCTTATAAACACAAGGGGAAAGCCAAAAGTTGGTGGGGAACATGGAATTAAAGATAATGGAGAGAGGGAGAATTTTAAAAAATAATAGTTTTTCCATGAACTTTTGGAAGTCTCCTTGTACTTTCAAGTAGTCATATGATAGCATGATACCAACTTAGCCGTTTTTCACTGGACCCAGTGGAGTGGGTCCTCCGGCGTCCCGTTTCCTCCCCTGTCCTAACGGCCCCTCTCCTCTGCCGCAGGGGCTTTGCCTGCCCCCAGCAGGCACAGCAGCCCGTCAGGCCACCTGACCCACAGCCGCAGCAGCAGCAAGGGCAGCATGGACGAAATCATGCCCCAACCGAAGCAGAAGGAGCTGGTGGGCAGCGTGCGGCAAAAGATGCTGCTGGACTACAGCGTGTACATGGCCAGGTGTGTCCCCCAGGAGAGCCGAAGCCCCTCGAGGAGCCCCGTGCAGAGTGCCGAGAGCAGCCCCACGGCTGGGAAGAAGGTAACGCTGACTGCCCCTGCCATCACGTCCCTCTCTGCCAGTCAGACACGTTTCTTCTTACAGGTGCTCTTCCTATAGGGTCTGTTGTGTGCCCGGCCCCAAGGGTGAAGAACAGAACAGCCAAGGGCCCTGTCCTCAGCATGTGTACCCCAACTAGGGAAACAGCCTAGACCTGCTATGAAACCGTGTGAGGGAGGGTCGGAGGACCAGCCATTTCCAGTGGGTAGTCAAGGAGGGCCTCATGGGAGAGGTGACCTTTGGGCAGAAACAGAACCGAAGGGAGGAAGTTGAGCCATGGACATATGTGTGGTGGTGGCGGTGGGGGTGCAAAGGCCCTGGGGCAGGAATGTGGCTCGGGCAGGCCAGGACCCATAGAGAGGCTACTGACCAGAGGGTGTGTGAGCAAGGGGAAGAGGAAAGAGATGTGATTGGAGGGTCACCGGGTGATGGGAGCCCGGGAGGATTTTGAGCCGGGTGTGAGGTTGATCTATGTAATTAAGTTTAAAAAGAGAAGTGAGTCTCCTGGCAGCATTGGCTCTGGGAGGTAAGGAGTGGGTGGGGTCAAGGATGGCAAGCGCAGGTAATTGCAGGCGGCGGGGATTGCAGTGCTGTGGAATGACAGCGGGGCTGACGTGGGCTGTGAGAGGGGCTCCTAGATTTTGGACCTGAATCACTAGATGGTGAGCTGGGACGTTCCACAGAATGGTTAGATATAGACCTCCCTCCTCAGGAGCACTCCCACCGTCCTCAGACTCCTCCGCTCTGCCTGCTGCTTTTGAAGGCCTAACCATAAACACATTACCACTTCCAAAGAGTAGCAAGCTCAACGAGGACCCCAGGATGGGTGGGGAGCCTGGCTTCTGCCAAGGGCCATTTGGCTCTTTATAAGCTCCGTTTTGGGGCCACAGTCTTCAAACGAGTCACTCCTGGTGGGTAGTGCAGTGGTCACGAGTTGGACTGCTAACAGCAAAGCCCGCAGTTCAAAACCACCAGCTGTTCCGAGGGGAAACGTCAAGATTGACTCCATAGCAGTGAGCTTGGTTTGGTAACGTGATGGCTGGAATTGCTTCTTTTAATATCTATTAGTATGTCCAATCTCTACGTATACATACTACCTATGAAGTACACGTATGTTTATATAAATAAAAGCACGTGACAATTTGACACATTGGAGATAATAATGTTTCTCTTCACCTAGATGACTTGGAGCAGGGGTGGGGAGTTTGAGCACTTGGGGCCTGAGAGATCAGCAAATCCCAGTTAACGTGTCAGCCTCCCCAAGGAGACGCAGTCTTGCAAACTTGGTGGCATCTCTCCATTTTCCAGACAGAGAAACTGAGGCTGGGGATGTTAATGGATGTTAATGTTAACCCCACAGCGGTTAGGTGGTGGTGGGTGAGCAAAACCTGACCTGAGACTCTGATCTGAGGCTACTGGGTCTTCCAAGCTGCCCTTAGCATGGGTCATTTGATAACTTTGCTTCACCCGAGGGCCTCCCTACCTCCACACACAGGTTCTAAGACACTGCTTCCCACTCTGCACCTGGAAGCCTGTTTCCGTGTGCAGTCACTGGAGGGGTTGGCCTCTCACAGTGATAGGATAGGATAGGAGGATAGGAGGTGGTTGGTTTCTGAGAGTGGGTGGGGTGGTGCCTAATGAGTGGCACTTGGAGCCACCCCTCTTTAGGTGGCCTGTAGCTCGGTTTGATTTCTCCGTGGATAGTCTGCTGTGTAGATGAGGCCCCTGTCTAGGCTAACAAGGGGCCACATGTCTTTGCTGGCCACTGACTCGCCGCCTTCACCTTCTGACCTCAGTTACCCACTCCTGCTCGGTAGCACCTCTGTATGTCTGGCTAGAGTAACGTAGAACAGTTCTAGAATTGCCTTTCTTCCCAGTCCCCAGCCCCTCCCCCCTCCTCCTCCATGGTGAGATGAGGAGGCCCTCACTTGGGCCCTTGATTAGATTAGGTGTCCCTCTCCCTGTGCAGGAGCTGCCTGGGCTTGGCTAGACTCTGGCCACATAGGGGAAGGGTTGTGCATGGGCCACGAAAAATGCCGGAGAGGCGTTCCTTTGTCACGCTCTCCTTGGACACCATCGTGTGTGCAGTGGGTGTTACACGAACTTGTACCAGGTAAACTGTGTCAACCAGGCCTGTGTGATCTGGGGAGCCCCCTCCTCCAGTCCCCCTACCAGTGAGGGGCATTCTCCAGTACAAACCGCCTTTCTAGGTACTTGGCACTTAGCCCTTTAAGTACCAAACATCCCCACTCTACCCTACCACCCCCTTTCAAGTCTGATAAAAATCTTTGAAAACCACATTCCACTTCCTGACCAGATTCTGCTTGCAGTCCATTCCGAGCAGGCAGGCAGGAATGATTTCATCTCTCCTGGAGAATTAAAGGACTTGTTATAATCAGTAGCAGTTCTGTCCTGTTGTAATGCGGGGCCCACCAAGGTTCAAAGGCTGCTGCCTCCCAGTGCTGGCTGCCAGCACGGTCTCCTCTCACCATCTGTGGGCTGCTCTTGGTGTGTGTCTTTCTAGAGGGCTTTTGTATGAGCTCCCACGTCCTATCCCCACCCCTGTCACTGTACTGATTAGTCTGATCTGCACTGTAGGCACGGTGCTGCTAGTCACAAGGTTGGTGGTTCAAACCCACCAGCTGTTCCACAAGAGAAAGGGGAGGCTGTCTGATTCTGCAAAGATTGACAGCCTCGGAAACCCAGTGGGCAATGTAGCTCTGCCTGTAGGGAGTGTCACTATGAGTCAGAACCAACTGGTGGCAGTGAAGTAGTGGGTGGTGGGCGTTTTCTATAAATGAATACGCATTGTTTTTCTAATCTGGGAAAGCAAGAAAGCAAGCACGAAGGGTCTTCTGTGTGCCTCCCTCTTAAGGGGCTCTGAGGAACAGAGGCGCAGCGCGCTCCTCCTCACAGAAACAAGGACTGCTCTCAGCTATCTGTGACAGGAAGCGGTAAACCCCCCGTGAAGTAAACCTGCGCTGCTTTACCTTGGAGGCTAGTTTTTAATAAAACCTAACCCAAGCTGCTCAAGCGGGATGACCTGGCTTCATCAGCAGACCATCGGAGCTCCCCACCCTTTGTAGGGACTGAACAGCCTTTGGAAATGTACCATTTCCTAACCCATGACTGAAAGTGGTGAAATGAAGATTCTCTCCACATTCCTTCCGGCAGCCAAACGGCAGTACTAGGAGCTTCGAGCAGGCTTCTCCTTTAGCCTGCCATGACCCACATTGGTCTGCATTTTCTGTCAGCCTGTGAGTGCAGATTCTGAGCATAAGGCCTCTCTGAGGCATGGTGTGTGCCCTGCTGCTTCTGGTTTGCTCTTGGTGCCCAAGGAGTCTGGAGAAGAGCCTGCCTTAGAAAAGGGAACCTCCGCCCTGCTGGTCGGTTATTTCCGAAATGTCTTTAGCACATCATGCGCCACTGGCTTAGATGTAAATTGTGAAATAGTCTTTGTTTCTTGGGATTCTGTGCTGTTTGTTTCCTGTGAACAGCTAGAGTTTAACGAAAGGTTGACTAAGAGTAGGGGTTCCTCCACTAGAGAAGGGGCAAGAGTACCTACAAATCTAAGTAGGTCTTGGGGGGAGGAGGGAAAGGATAAGGGTAGCAGTTTGGCACTATCTAAATGGTCAACAGGCATCAGCCTTATATAAGTGATTTTCCTGGAGTCTGTTTAATCAGTGGTTCTCAACCTTCCTAATGCCATGACCTTTTAATACAGTTCCTCATGTTGTGATGACCCCCCAAACCATAAAATTGTTTTCGTTGCTACTTCATAACTGTAATTTTGCTACTGTTATGAATCAGGCAACCCCTGTGAAAGGGTCGTTCAACCCCCAGGTTGAGAACCGCTGGTTTAGATAATCTGATAGCACTGCAAAAGTGACAAGGGAGCCAAATCCAACCTCTGACTTCACAAAGAGGAAGGAGAATTGAAGCATCAGCTCAGCCTGATGGTCATTTCTGTGGGGCAGGGGTTGGACAAGCCTCTATCCGCCACCGTTTCTGATTTTGATAGCAACTGCCCCTCCCAGGACACCCAGCCCCACTGCTGGGTTCAGTAATCCATTACCGTGGCCACACAGAACTTGGACAATACTCACGATTATGGGGCTTCTTAGGGATGCTAACAGGTTACATCTCAGCATCAGAAACAGCAGTTCTCTGGGCCTGAGTGCCTCTACTTAACTGTCTACTGGAGGCACACCTCTTTCTGGTCCACGGCCACCCAGCCTCTTGGCTGTTTGGGCAATTGTTGCAAATACAAAGCAGCTTTAAAACTCATTACCATTGAGTCAGTTCACAAAGCTACATTAGTGCTCATAAGTGCCCGTGGGCACCCCACTCTGCAAACCACCTCCTGCCAGAGGGGACTCCGCTTTCCAGCTCTGTGAGCTGGGAAGCCTGCTGCTCGGTCCCTGCTCTAACTACGGATGCCTCTGTTGCTACCACTTCTTTGCGCAGGGATCTCGGGGTACAAAGGACATGTTCCACTCATGGCGCTTCTCACGTTCATGAGAGCCCCCATTCTTGCTTCTGCGATGGCTTACTATATACCCTGCAGAATGACAAAACTGACCAGTCCCCACGTGAGCATCCCATACACCTATTTGCAGCTCCTTCAGTTATTTGGTAGGTGTTACAAAGATGATGGTTAGAAAGAGCCATACCAAATAAGGCCCCCATGCCACAAACTCAAAGACAGTACTCTCAGAGCAATCAGACCAGGTAGCCTTTGGGATTGGGTGGACGTGTTCAGGCAGGGAGAAGAGTGATTCACAAAACCTGAGCAGCAGCATGTGCTTTGACTCCTGCTCTCCCATTCAGGGTCTAGTTAAAATCTAAAGCCAGACCAACCCCAGAAAGACACGGGTGGAGTACTATATGCAGCCATTGAAAAGATGATGACAGGCCTGTTCTGAACTGGAATGGCCAACATGCATTCTTTAAACCAGAGCTGTGGTGGTGGTGGTCGTAATGAGCCCAGCTCCTGAGATGCAGTAACGTGTGTTTAAAAACATGTACGAGAACCCTCTGCCTCCCAGAGAGAAGATGCCAGCTGTGACCAGACCTCCCTCTTTCTGTTTCCCCGAGAGAAGGAGGGACTTGCCAGTTCGTGAGTCCTTGTGCATGGCGGGGTCTTTGGCGATGAGGGTAAGCAACTGCCTTGCTCTCTTTTGCCTTTTCACTAATTGGAGCCCCTTTTCTTTCCAGTTGCTGGAAGCGCTGCCCTCTGAGGAGGAAGAGCAAGAGGCCTGGGTGAACGCCTTACTTGGAAGAATGTTCTGGGACTTCTTAGGAGAGAAATACTGGTCTGACCTGGTGTCTAAGAAAATCCAAATGAAACTCAGCAAAATAAAGGTACTGTTGTATGCACCGGCAGTTTCTGGGGCTCCACCTTTCTCAGTGTCTGGAAGCCCTGTGCCATTAATGTTCTGAGTGATAAGTAGTTTGGCTTACAACATATGACGTAGGAGGGGAGTCAGCGCTGATCCGAAAGCCCGGCTGCCCTGTGCTGGTGCCGGTGCCTGTGCCATCGGGATGAGCCGCAGCTTCTATTGCCTTTTTCCTCAGGCTGCCCCCACTATTGGCCACGCTAGGTGGCACTCCACAATCTGGCCCGGGACAGGTGAGCTTTCGTAGCAGGTGTGTGTTGTGCCATTCTGTCCTGTTCCTTTCATTTCTTATTTATGTTTAGAAAGGGATACAGTGTTTTATTAGTTTAGTTTTTTAATAAGCTGAATCACTTTTTCTAAGTGGATCCCAAAATGATTCATAAATTATTTGTGTGTGTGTGTGTGTGTGTGTGTGTGTGTGTGTGTACTAGTTGAGGGTTCACACTTCAGATCACCAATTTTTTTATTCAGTAGTTTTATCAACCCTCCCCCACCCCCCATCTTTGAGTTCTCGTTTCCTCTTTCAGATTACCGCCTTCCCTTCACCCAGACATGGGTGAGACACCTGCCTCATTCTCTTTAAGGCACTGTGTGTCCAGAGCCCACTCAGCCTCTTGGTGGTCTCTGCCCCACAGCGCACACTCTGAGGGAAGCCCAGGTCGTGTTCCCTCCCAACGCTGAGGACATTAGCATCACACTCTGAATGTGTCTGTGTTTGACCTTCACTTTTTGGTCAGATGGTACTTTATTTTGGGGTCTTTGCTGAAAAAACCGCCCTAGTACTGATCCATGCCCACGTGGAAGTCAGTATAAACTGCATAAGTGGTCATATTTCTCAAAACTGCCGTTAAGTGACTCATTTACCGACCAAGAAGCCTTACCCGTTAGCTTTCTTAGAAGTAAATTTTTGATCCAGTGAGGACCCAGGCAAGAAATAGCAACTTTGGTCCTAACTTTTTGGTGAGGGCCTGCGCAGCTTTGGCAGAAGTTGGTGGTTTTCTTAATCCTTTTGGTCATAGAAGCCTATGGATCTTCTCCCTAGAAAAATGCACAGAGATACGAAGCTTGCCCACAGTGTTAGAGAACCCAAGGACTCTGAGCTGAGATAAAATTGTATTAGGAGGACAGTGTGGATAAGGAGAAGCGTCAGTTCGAGCTCTGTCTCTGGGCTGGTGTCAGACCTGGTGAAGAGGAGGGGCTGCAGGGCAGGGGTTTGGGGGGGCCCCGTGACAAATGTCCGCCTGTTGGTGTTGTTCCGGTGGATGGTGAGTTGAGTGGAGCCTGGTTCTGCTCACCAGGTTTTGTGGAGGGGAAGCAGCCGGCAGCAGTGACCCTTGGCCTGGGGGGCTCAGCACCCACCTGGAGCTCACGCACCAGAGTTACCAGAGCACGGCGGACACACACAGCTCAGCCACTGCTCTTCAAGATACTGCTGGGAGCATCCCTGTGAGTGGGAGGGCATGCTGGAACATCAGACAGGAAGCTGCCTGCCCACAATGAACCTGGAGAGGAGGCCTGGCATTCACTCCCTTCTGGAGCTGTCTGTGGGCTCTTCGCCTCCTAGTGGAGGTTGGTGAGCTTCCTCATTCCAGAGGTTGAAGAAGAATCTTGTCTTTTCACTTCCCCTTCTACTGTCGAGGTGGCTCTGGCAGTTCAGGAACTTAAGCTTTGTTCGCCTTTGTAGCTTTACTCGGCCCCGCTAGTGAATGGGCATGGCTTAGCAGCGAGCCCAGAGCCGTCCTGGGGACAGAGATGTGGGGCTTGGAGGAGCCAGGCCTTGTAACACAGATCTCCCCATGTCCTGCTTTCGCAGGAAGAACTCTCCCTGCCAGCCCCCTCAGTCCCCTGCAGTTCCAGACTGTCCCCTCTGTGTGACCAATTGCCCAGTGATGAGATTAAAACCAACTGAAATTCTACCCAACAGCAAATGCACTCTGGGCTTTAGCCAGCTGCTAGGCTGCCGCCGCAGGACCCTGGTGGGTCTCTTGTGCCGACATCAGCTGCTGCAGCTTTCAGGGCAAGCTGCCCTCACTTGTCACCCTGCAGCCACCTGAGAATGTCCTGTACACCTGAGTCTCTGGTTCCCAGTTGCATTGACTCAGGAGGATAAAGAACATGCCACTGGGTTCCCGTGTCACCAAGCTGGCATTTCTGGGTGAAAAGATCTTTCCCCTGCCAGTCACAAGGACATAGTTTGAGAGCTTGGTACCAAGACTCTAAACCCAGCCTGGAACCTGAGCAAGGAAAAGAGGACATTGAGGGGAAAGCTTAGAGGTGGTAGGAAGCCAGACCCCATTGCTGTCCTCTCCCCATCTGCATACTGGTCATTAGAGGCCTCACCTCCACCCTGCCTTCCTCAGATCCTTCCTTTGTTCTCAGAGAGACTACAGAGTATGAAACGGGCAAGGGTCCTGGCCAGGGGAACACGAAGACAGTTGGTTCCTACTGTCTCTGTACCCACTCCTGTAGCTCTGTGTGGGACTCAGGTTTCCATAGAAACACTGTGGGAAGTAGTGACGTTCCCTGGCCAGCCCTCAGCGCTTCTAACGGTATGCTCCTGGACCACGGGTGGTGGAGGGACAGCAATGGATAGAAAGGATTGCAGCACGGGATTTGGGCTTCATTTTTGGCCAAGGAGCATTTTGTTAGCTGATTGAGCCAGCCAGCACTTACAACATTGAGTCATTAGAAGAGATTTTCCCAAATGTAACCAGGATCCATCAAAGGCGGCCGTGACTCCTCAGGGATGATCAGTCTCTGCAGGGAGACGGCTGAGTGGTCCAGCAACTGCATTGTGAAATCCAGGCCTGCAAAGCCCTGCCTCGTCTTGTGAGACATATTCAACAAATAACCTGATTTAAAAACAATCAGCCACCACCCCATCTGAATTCTAACTTTGGCAGAATCATTCCAGTATTTCACTGGGAGAATACTTGTGAGGCACCACAGGAACTGAAGGGGGGCTTGTCAGCCTTCGAAACGTGCAACAGCAGTGGCAGGCAGCAGAGCTGGATTCCAGTGTGGCGGGGTCTTGGGGAAGGATGGCATCGCAGACTAACAAGGAAAGGGCCGGCTCCTCAGCAGCAGCGTGGGGCAGTTGATCCGCCATTTGGGAAAAAGTGAAGTTGAGCCTCTCCCTTACTGCTTAGACTACAATTCTGAAAGGATTAAAGGTTGGATTACCCGATGTTTGGCTTCATAGCGCTATCATGTACGACACTGTATTTGTCTACTTAATCTTCAGTTTCTATATATCCTCTATAAATTCATGAGAGCATGACTCTTCAAGGTGCCACCTGCAAGTACGTCCCTAGTGTGTGATACGCACACAGTACCTTTTTGTTCAATTTATGGCATACCCCCAAACCCTCCCAAGAATATGTTTGAGGAGATGGTGGTGATTGCATTGCACAGCTCATTTTGGGGGTGAATCAACCATGGGGAGGGAATGCTCTAGAATGGATGTGGTGGTCATTGTATAGCTCCCCCTTCATGTGTATGAACGATTAAACTGTTCGGTTCTATGATATGTGGATTGTGTGCCAATAAAACTGTTGGGGGAGAAAAAGAAAGAATGTTGAATCTGAACTGACCTTTGCACATTGACAAGGTTGAGAGTGTGTCTCATCCACTGTTGGCTTCTCTTCCCCAGCTCCCCTACTTTATGAATGAGCTGACTCTGACGGAACTTGACATGGGAGTGGCTGTGCCAAAAATCCTTCAGGCCTTCAAGCCTTATGTCGATCACCAAGGTAACTCCTCATTGACCATGTACATGAATGTTAAGATGTTCACACCACTGTGGGTTCAATATCAAGGCTGTGCACTGGAGAGGGGAAAGGTGGGAAGTATTTTTAATCACCTGTTTCTCATTGAAAGGAGTCCTGGTGACATAATGGGTTATTCATTGGCCTGCTGACCCCAAGGTTGTCGGTTCAAATCCACCAGCCGTTCTGCAGGAGAAAGACGAGGCTTCTGCTTCTGTGAACATTTGCAGCCTCAGAAACCTTTATAGGTTTGCTATGAATCAGAATCCACTCCGTGGCTATGAGTTTGAGCTCTCATTGAAAGAGGCCAGTGGCAATGATTGTTTACTTAACTGCCAACCAAAATGTCCCTTGGCCAAACCGACTAGCTTCGCTGAGGGGAAAGACATGGTTCTCTGCTTCGGTAAAGATGCCATACACAACTCATGGCAAAGGTGACTCCATCATGGGGGGAGGAGTGCTTCAGGGGAGAAAGAAACCATTCTGAAATAGATTATGGTAATGATTTTTCAATTCTTCTTGATACGATTGAACGATTGAATTGTATGATGTGGATTATGTGCCAATAAACCTGGCAGAGGGGGCAGCAAAAACAAAAACAGTACAGCCTCGGAAATCCTCTAGGACAGTCCTACTCTGTCTTAGAAGGTTGCTGGGTCAGAGTTGTCTTGACAACAATGGGTTTTAGTATTTCATGTAGAATGTCTTTCCTTTTTTGAAATGCTTTTAAGTATTGTTTCGTTGTGTTTTCAGTGAAGGTGTACACAGTAAAGGTGGTTTAGGGTCCCATTTAATAATTTCTACATAAATTATTCAGTATCATTGGTTACAAAGCATGGACATTCTTAATACTTCTGGTAGTTCTGTTTCCATTCATTTCATTTCCCTACCTTGTCCTCATTGCTTTAAAGTAACTTGGTTACTTAATGTCATATAGATGGCTTTTTAATTTTATTAAAAATCTTTAATAACGGTGTTTTATTATAAATTCGGCAAGGGTTTACATTTCAGACATCAGCTTTGTATTCACCAGTATAAACTGCTTCTCACACCTGCCATGGTTTACCCTACACCCACTCCTGATTGCTCTTTCCCTCCGTGGACTGCCATCTTCCATGTCACCCTGCAAACATCCGTTACAGTCTAACCTGGTGGTTCTCAACCTTCCTCATGTTGCGACCCTTTCATATAGTTCATGTTTTGGTGACCCCCCAACCATAACATTATTTTCGTTGCTACTTCATCACTGTCATTTTGCTACTGTTTTTAATCGGGTGACAAGACAAGGTCTGGTGAAAGGAGGAGGACTAGCCAGAAGCAGGACTAGCTCACTGCCCAGGAAACATATGACTTCATCACCTGGGCATCCCTCTCCCGAGTGAGCCTCTTACCCCTTAGGCTCATGATCAAGATAGAGGCGAGAAGAATCCGGATTCTCCAAGAATGAACTATTCGTTTTGAAGAAAGATGTCCGGTGAGATCTGTAGACTATGGAAGTGAGCTTGCCCTCTGGCTCTATCAGATGGCTCTCATGTCATGTTTAGTGAAATCATTTTTCTTCTTTTGTGTCCATTTGATGAAAAAAGATTTTCTAGTTCTACAGCCAGTCAAATCTCTCTTGGGATATCTTCCAGCTGACCATGAGCCCTTACTTCTGTGTTTAGCCTCACATTGATTTCAGAGAAGGCCAGCCCCCAGAGTATTACAAGGGGTCTTCAAAGAGTTACTGTGTGAGATAGGTAAGGTTTATTGTGCCAACCTGGCTGATAAACACATGGGATTAATGGAAGGGCGGGGAGATAAATGGCTCCGTGAGCTTCAACTTTCTAGTTCTTGGATTTCTTGCTTTCTGATGGTCTGACCAGGGTGTGGGTGCCATACTAGTTCATTGCCTCAGCTTGCAAGGCTCACTTCCTGCAAGACATCCCTGAGGAGAAGCCACATGGACCTACCCTGATGCAGCCCTGGGTGCTGGAGCAGCCGTGTGGAGACCCCTGCCAGCGCTGAGATGCTTACATGCTCACTGATTCGACTTTTCCTCCTGCAGTTGGCATCATTGTGTGTGTTTTGTGAGATGGAGGCAGACTTTGTAGATTGGTGTTATTGTGTTATATGTGGGCAGATGTTGGACTTATGGGCTTGGACAGCACTGGGATTGGATGTTTTCTTAATGTGCACTTACCCTTTACAGAAAACTCTCTCTTACACATATGAGTTTCTGTGGATTTGTTTCTCTGGTCGCCTCGACTAACACACTATGAAAAAGCGATGCATGGATTTCAAAAAGTGCTCCCATCCACAGAAGCTTGTGCTGACTTGTAACATGTCTGATTGGAGCCTGGTGGGGGCCTGAGAAAAGGAGCCCCTGCCAGAGTGCAGTGGAAGAATGGTGAAATCATGGAGGCTCTATGAAGTTGATGGGGCATTGCCCCAAAGAAAGCAGTTTACAAATGGATAACTCGCTTCAAGACCAGCCAAGACAATGTTGAAGATGAAGCCCACATAGCAGACCAGGAAATATTTCATCTTGTGTGTGCGCTGATTGAAGAGGACCAGCAGTGAACAGCACGAACAGTAGTCCTAAATACCTTAGGCGTCTCAACTGGTTCTGGGTTCACAGTTCTGACTCAGAACCAAAGTTGAGTAGATGTTCGGCTCAGTGGGTGCGAAGAATGTCCCCATCTGCAGACGAGCAGAGCTTTCCATGGAAATTTTAAACAAGTGGGATTAAGAACCAGAAGCATTTCTTTGAAGAACTGTAACAGAAGATGAAACCTGGCTTTTCCAACACAATCCTAATGGCAAAGCCAGGGCTCCCGGGAGGTGGGAGTGGCAGTGGCGCAGGCCAAGAAAAAGCAGCCTGGTCAAGAGCAGAGGTCACAGCAGCAGTTTGGGGGGGATGCTCGAGGCATTTGACCTGTTGGCTTTCTGGAGGGCCAAAGAACAATTGCGCCTGCTTATTGGGAAAGTGTTTTGAGAAAGTTAGTGGAAACCGTAGCGGAAAACTGCCCGTAAGAGCTTCACGGGTGTGTCGTCCCCCGCCTGCCCTTATTCATCTCCCCAAACAAGGGCACTTTGGGGAGAGTTTCAATGAGAAGTCACTAGACTTCCAGCCACCGGACAGTCCTGACTTAGCTCCTTCTGACTTCTCGGGTTTCCTAATCCTTCAGAAATCTTTGAAGGGCACCCTCTTTCTTCAGCTAAGAATGTAAACCAGACTGCGTGGTACAGCTAAGTTCCCAGCACCGAGTTCGTTAGAGATGGACTGAATGGCTGGCATCGTCACTTGGAAAGGTGTCTTGAACTGGATGGCACTTAGGTTGGGCAATCAAGTGTAGCTGTTTTTATTTAGTTTTAATTTTATTTTTCCATGAACTTTTGGTGAAGCCTGTACAGAGGCAAAGCCAGAAGTTCACTTGAGGCTGCCTGTTGAGCTCCCCTGTCTCCCCCTCCGTGAACCAGAGTGCTCCTGGAGTTGGTAAGCTCCCAGCTGATGGAGAGTAAAACTAGAAAAGATTTGGACTCCTCTGCAGAGAGTTTAGCGAGAGTTCTGTACCTCCCACGGAAAGGCTTTCAAAGATAGACTCTGTGTTCACTGTAAAATGAACGAATCTTCACCCTTACTAGTGGACCAGGGCTGTCAGCCCCACGCCCACCCTGACAATCTGGTATGTGATCTGCTGACCTCACCTCCTGAAACTGGGCCCAAAGAAAGGAAAGAATGCAGGAGAAAGCTGTTTCCTAGTGTGCCAGCATTCTTTTCCCCTCAGGGCTGTTTTTGTTGAATGAATAGAAATTCCCCAACTGGGATGCAGATCCACATCATTGGGGCTCCACAGCATCTAGGAAGTGTCCCTGCAGCTCCCGGCAGGCTGACTTCACCAGACACCAAAATCTCCAGTTTCTCTCTCCTTCTGCGGGAAGACATTTCACTGTAGATCAAAGCTTTGCTACTACGGAAGCAGCGTAAGGAGTACGTGCATCCATCCATCCACACAGGGCTGTGTAAGAGCTCGTTCCTGCTTTACCTTGATTACAACTACCGGGAACTGAGGAGGTCGAGGCTGGGCCGGGCGTCCCACTGGGACTCCCATCCAACAGCTGAAAGTGGCCAGATCCTCGGCGCAAAGAAGAATGTTGAGAGGAGTGGCTGGCCTGAGCTCTAAGGCACGCCATTTCTAGTGCCACGAGGGAACCAGTTCAGTGACCAGGGTGCATGTTCTGAAAGGTGGATGCCTCTCCCCTTTGAGAACGGCCTGTGCACCTCCCGCCTTTGCTGTGACCCCTCCCCCTCTAGCCTTGAAGAGTGTACCAGGTCTCAGGTCTCCCTTCTTCCCTGTGACTGTCCAGAGGCTCCAGGAGCCTGGTACGCTGGCCCTCCTCTGTCTGGCTTCCCCTTCGCCTCCCTCACGCCCGGCCTGGGGACGTTATCCCTCTCGGCCCAGCTTTTCCCAGTTGTCTCATTCATGCTGTTAGGGTAGTGCTCATCCATTGGTTCACGCCCGGAAGGAGAGTATCACCCCACCATTCAGAGGCAGCCAGTTGACCTCTTGGGTCTGCTCTTCCATAATCTCTTTTCCTTTGGATCAAGTTCATGCAAGATATATAGCTCTGATAGTGCAGTCTCCTGTCAACTTGGCTGGGTCTGAATTCTCAGTGGCTTGGCAGGTAGGACCGAATAATCCCCCTAACACAGAGCTCAGACTGGGCAGGCTCGATTTTACAACTGTGAGAGCCATTCTCTTGATAGAAGTTTGCGTGCGTGTGTGCGCATATATATAAACATCAGGGGTTTTGCTTCTCTAGAAAGCCAGCCTGACACAAGCACTTATTAAACCCTAAAGCAGTGGTTCTCAACCTTCTTAATGCTGCGACCCATTCATACAGTTCCTCATGTGGTGGTGACCCCCAACCATAAAATTACTTTCATTGCTACTTCATCACTGTCATTTTGCTACTGTTAGGAATCCAGAGACCTCTGTGAAAAGGTCGTTAGATCCCCAAAGGGGTCATGACCCTCAGGTTGAGAACCGCTGCCCTAAAGAATCCAGGCAAAATGACTATTTTGACCTGAAGGGCACTCAGGGTCATCCCGCCAGACCCTAAGGGGGGGTGAGATGGGTAAGATGAAGCTGGGAGGTGAGGAACTCCCCACAGAGTCCCCCTCAACCTTGCCTTTCCATCTGGGTCGTGGCTTCTAGGCACAGCTCCACAGTCAGGGACCTGTATGGGCCGGGCTCCTTCAGCGCTGCCAGCAGTGGGAGCTCAGGCAGTCCCTGCCCTCCCCACAGCAGTGTCTGTTCATGCAGCCGATTTGGAGACGGCTAAACAGTGCGGAAAACTGGAGTCAGAGCCCATCAGTGGCCTCCCTGTGCTCCCACCTGGCCCTCTTCAGTAGCAGACAACAGGAGAGTGGTCATGGCAGCCCAGACCTGAGAACTGCGGCAGGGCAGGTATAGCGCCCACTCAAGCTCACTCACCTTTTAGGGGACTTGGATTGATGGCTTTGTCATCCTTGAAGCAGCAGGGCTCTGTTCTGGCAACAGTTAGAGGCAGGCGCAGGTGAACATGATGTCTGTCCTCGAGACACATCCCAGCGTTCACTTTCTGTGGGTCTAAAGAACAGTGGGACACCGGTCTGTGTGTCAGGCTGGTGCAGCAGCGCTCACGCTGTTCTGTGGAGCATGTGGTCATGGAAGTAGGGCTGGCAGTCAGAGTACAAAGGAACCCTTCAGTTACTGTGGAGAGCAGATCAGGGGCGGCCAAGCTCCAGCGAGCAAGGCTTTATTCTCCCCGCTCCTTGGAGCAGCAGTGCCCGGGAAGCGTGTGTCAATGAGACGGCAGCCTTCCAGTTAGCTTATTAGTAATAAAGCCATGAATAGCTGACCTGTAACGGCCACCACAGCACTACAACTGAGGGGTGCAGATATCCTGCTAAACAGAACAGCAGGGGGCCTGTGTGCCAGCTGTGGCTTCTCCCTGTCCCTGGGACATGCACCAGGGCAGGTTTGTCCCCTGTGGTGGCATCATGGCTCTAAGTCCTCTTCATTCTTCAAGCACAAACCCCTGGAGGGCAGGGGTCGGTCACCTTGGTGGGTGTGAAGCTGAGAAATGGAGGGAGGTATAACTTTGGCTGCAATGGTGGTGGTGGTGGTGGTGGTGGTGACTGAGGCTGGCGAGTGGGGAAACTGCACCTGCACTCCCCATGAGTCCTCACAGGAGGGCCATCGAAAGCAGCTCGTGTTTGCGTCAGCTGTGCGTTCTTTGGGATTCCTTGATCATCAGGCAGCCCCCTCCAGCACTAGACAGCCACTCACCATGGCCCGGGGTGGGGCGGGGAGGCTGACAACCTCTCTCGCCCCCTGCCCTCTTGTTCATGCTCCAGCCCCCTTGGCAGAGACCTCCCGAGGCTGACCATCTTACACACGTAAAAGCATCAAAAATGGTTCTGCTTCTCATAGAGCAGATGGTTCTGAAAACAGCATTTACACGCAGTGCTTCCTATTTGTCACACCCAAGGAAAAGCCGCTCTCATCTAGATTCGCGGCATTCCGCTGTGTTGGTTAACTGCTGATCAGGGGAAGTGTGTGTCCTCATCCTCTCGTGGTTGCTGCACTTCTCCCAGGGGAAAGACAGCCTTTCTAATAACTGTCAGTTCATCTCGCAATCACTCGAGGTGAGGCCCTGACTCACCGTCATATAGCCCGTTGGTCTCGGCTCCAAGTTGCTCCTGCTCCTAGATTTTCCGGGTGCATTCTGCCTGCTGACTCATGGTCACAGAAGCAAGTTTTTCTTTGCACCTTAGGCTAAAATAGCCTTCTTGCTCTCATCTAAATGCAAGCTTGTCATGGTAGGGTCATTTGTTAGAATTTTGATTTGGTTTTTCAGATCTGTTCTCAAAAGTCCTCAAACCATCCATGACTCTTCCTCGTGCTCTTTGAGTGTCACAGGATGTAGGCAGTGGTATGAGAAACAGACTCCTCCCCTTAGGGATCCCTACCTCATCCTCTCCCGGCCCGCAGAGCAGCCTCTTCCCTCTTTCTTGGTGCATGAACTTTTCCAGACCATTCCCTTTTATGGAAACAGCAGTAAACTAGACTGGAGGCAAGGATTGCAGTCGTCAGGATCTGGCAGCAGCAGAGAAAGGAAGGCGTCCTGGCCAGGGTGTGCCATGGTGGCACACAGCAACCCCTGAGGGAGCAGTGGTGGTGTTCCCATTGTGCGTGCGGGTGAGGAGACTGAGGCACGGAGGTTAAGAGATTGCAGACTCCAGTCCCATCCACTTGACTGGGCTCCCTGCCGCCCTTCCTTTCACTGCCTCGGCTCCTAGATCACACATCATCAGATGGACTGTGGACTTGACTGGGACATGAACCGCACTTCCCTGGGCCCACATCCAAATCCCTTCACTGGGGGAAAAAACACACAGATAAAACTTACATTTTATAAGGCATAAACTTCTGGTGACTTTAATATGACAGCCTTCAACGTAATACATCCTATTACTATTTATTGGACAACTGAGTAGGGCTTTGAAAAGAGGTGATGATGCCTGAATCCATACAGCATCCAAGTCAAGCTAGAGTGATAATACAGCAAATAAATAGCTTCTTTGTTGGTCACTTTTTATATTGCATTTGAAATCTATTAAACTCTAGCTTTGTCTCAGTCCCCCTGCTATTAGGAGCCATTAATCACTAGGTATCTTTATGAAAGCAGATGTGCCCTTTATTTCCTATAATAGTAACTTTGAAAGAGCAAGCTAATTAATGATTTCTTTTACACTGCTTAAAGCATAATGAAGAGTGACGGCTGTTTTGTGAGTCTGGCTGCAGACTCCAGGTAATCGGTCTGCCTACCACTTATTAAAACAGGTCATTCGTGGAAAAGAATTAGCTTCAATCAGGATGAAAAAGAAATCTGTTGAAAGCAAAATGGAAACGCTTCTGACTTTAGTGAGGAGCAACACCATTCGTGCCTCTTGAGGTTAAGCAAAGCTTTTCATCTGAGGCGGCGGCCAGATTCGGGCAGGCTGGGGTGGGGGTGGGGGCGGGTATTTACTGTAATGGCCAGAAAATGCTGCTGTGTGTCAACAGTGGTTTCAGATTAATTTCCTGCTTCCTTTTCAATGTTGTCATTTATCTTTATGAGGATCTATGAAAGTGTATTAACATTTGACATCTACCTGAAGAATCCTGTTTGATGGATGATCCTTGAGATGCTATGGAGCTCTGAGCCTGAAGGACCCCAGCTCAGTTTATGTGAACCTGCCAAGCATAGGAGCTTCGAATAGAAGAGGGTCCTGAGCTGCTTCCCCCTGGTTTTAGACTACTGGCAGTGGCCACTTCTGGTGGTCGCCACCCCATTGAAGTTCCACAAACCAAATGGTCCTTTTGACCTCATCTCATTGGCATGCGTATCATTATAGGGAGTACGGTTTCAAGTTACGGTACAGAAGGGGTACGCAATGTATCTGGATGATCCAATAGAAAATCTGTTCTTTTGTCCCATGCCTAGGCAGTTTCCAGAAAGAGAGGGTTCAAAGTGTCTGTGCCCCTCCCTGCGGAACCTTGCTAACTCGGAACCACCTGTTGTCTGAGGAACCACCTGGTGCACAGGTGTCTGCATTTCTTCTCGGCCCGTAACTGCCAGGGAGTCAGGCGAGCTCATCCCAAGGGGTCGGGGTGAAGCAGCAGCCAGCGTACAGGGCCTCCCACGCTCACATCATGGATATGCTGTGGCCCTTCTAATGGATGCGGAGAGCCTGGCATCTCGCAGCCCTCTTCCAGAAGCTAGGTGTTAAAGTGCGGCGTCGGCTCCGGTGTGCCATGCTGCTTGCTTAGACACTGGAAAATGGAAATCCGCCCACCCGTACTGTCATTGATAGCATGTTCCTTTCAGGGAAAGACAAAACCCTGTGCTGTTGTCTTGTTCTTTTTCCCCCACCATTTCTCCAGGACTCTGGATTGATTTGGAAATGTCCTACAATGGGTCCTTTCTGATGACTCTCGAGACCAAAATGAATTTGACCAAACTAGGTAAAGAGCCTCTTGCTGAAGCCCTGAAGGTTGGCGAAATTGGCAAAGAAGGGTAAGGGGCTATATGAATTTCCTATTCGGAATCCCACCTGGGACACCACCTCCCCCTCCCCCTTAGAGCAGCAGACTTGATGCATTGTGGCCATGGATGTTGGGTGGGCTTTTGGACCCCCGGAGTGTTTTAGGGAACAGTTTCCTAGTCTCACCCCCAGCAGACAGCCATCCCCATGCCCAGCCAGGCTGTCAGGTGGGCCAGGCATCCTCACCTGTGCTCAGTGTGGTGTGCACAGTATCGATTACCCAGAAACACTGCCGTCTCAGCCCAGCAGCTCCAGCTCAGCCGCACAGGTGCGCTCCATGCGCAGAATCATCCTCAAGGAAGTTCCTCTGCCCCTGTTCAGCCACAGATAGTGACGTGGACCGGGCTCTTGTCCTGAGCGTCCCTGAGGCTTTAATCATAAAATCAGAAGTGCTCATAATTAGATGATCGATTTTTTTTTTTTTTTAGGCAGCAGTTCCCTAAATAATGTGGTATTGATCTGCGTCATAAATCCCTCTTGTAGACAGGGCATCTGCTGCATAGCTGAATTTAGGGGAAATTTCCAATTTGTGAGATAATTAACGCAGCGAATTTTCCCCCTTATTGCCTCTCAGAGAGAAGCTAGCAGTTTTGCTTGCCCACACACCTTAAAAATGGCTCGTTTAAATGGATCTTAGGGTTTTTGCCAAATCAGAAATGCTGATTGGAGTCTGCTTCCCTGACTTGACTTCTCTCACATGAAATTAGCAGTATGATGACAGGAGGGGCTGCCAGGAGCCGCCTTGTCAGGATCTCACCATCCTGGGGTCTCGCTGGCTCAGGATCCTGACCTGTGCTTTCCTGCGGCCCCACAGTAGAGCAGATGGGGGTGAGCTGGGCCGTCCAGGTGAATGCTCTTTACCGAGATGGCTCTGATTTAGCCAGGCCACTTGGGAATGTAATGTCCCTCTGAGTAAGTGGAAGCTTTTGCCCACTGTGTGCAATCTAACCCTTCTCTGTGCTGTTTTCCTCTCGTTCCTCTGCTGTTTGTTCAAATGGGGTTGAACTCGGCAATCTGTGGATTTGTGTTTTCTGGTGAGTGGTATTTATCAGTTCTCCGTGTAGCATTTCATACCCTGTGAGTGCCACGTGACACCACCAAGGCATTTGTCCTTCCCACGTGTTCTTAGACATGATGGCCCGCCTGTGAGCCCGAGCTAGGGAGCTTGCAGAGACTCCCCTGGCAGTTTGGATGGCAGGGGGCTTTGATCTCAGTCTCTTTCCCCGATGTTCCCACACGCAGCTGAGCATTCTCAGTCCAGCCTCAGAGAGTCAGGAAAAGAGCCCCAGTAGGCAGACCCGGTCACAAAACCTCTGGAAAAGGAGGCCGACATGAATGGGAGTGGGGCTGAACACGCATCAGTTGGAGCATCGGGGCAGGAGCTTTCCGGAAAGACCCTATGGGAAAGGGGGGTGGTGGGTCCCCAATGCAGCAGGCATTGAGGCTTGTGCCCCTGAGGGGTTGCTTGCAGGCGCTCTTGGCACAGCTTTTCATTCATCGACTGGCTGACCGGGCCGGAGGGAAGCCTCTGCTGTACAGAAGTGATCATAGTAAATTCTATTTTTACTCTATTTTCTAGAGCAGTTTTTTCTTGTAGAAATTTCTTCTTCTAGGGGGTGGGTATTAAACTAAATGTTTAATGATTTTCTGACTGGCTGGACTTTAATTTTTAAAGTAAAGAAGAATACAGCCTGAGGGCACTTTGTCTAGGCGACAAGGACAGGGCAAATAGACTCTCCGCCCCTCTGTGTGTCAGGGAGCCCCTCGTTCATCAGGAGGAGCACTGAGGGTGTGGTGGCTACCTGTTGGGCTGCCCACCTCAAGGCCAGCAGTTGGAAACCACCAGCCACTGCACAGAGGAGAAAGAGCTCGTCTCAGAAACCCACAGGGGCCGTTCCACCCTGCCCTGTTGGGTCGCTGTGAGTGAGCATCGACTCGATGGCAGGGGTTGGTTCTTCATCTGAGACCTCTCGCGTCTCGGAGCATCCAGAGCCTCTGAAGCATCCTGGTTGAGGAAGCAGACCCAGTTCACTTCCTCCCTCAGGAGCATGCAGAACCACCTGAGGCTGATACCAGAGGGAAACACAGAAGTCAGGACATGTAGCCGAATAGTAAGCAGCTGACCTTTGGCGCTGACCTCTCTTTCACGTTAAGACACACCCCCATCACGCACACACACACACTCTCCAAGGAGCACAGTGTGTGTCTGAGAGGTCACCAGCAGGGGCATTCCCTTCTGCCCTGTGGGTCCCACTTCCTGCTCTTCTCAGAGTTTTCTCCAGTCCCCCTCCCAGGGTGCAAACGCTGTGCTATAGAGACCCTCTGAGAAGATGCTGCCCCTCCTGTGAGCAGGGAGTTTATTCATGCTGTTCCCCTGAGGACCACTGGAGGCAATAGAGATGTTGCTCTGTCTCTTGGAAATATGCAGACATTGTATCTGTGTGGGCATTTCCCCCTTGGCTCTTCTCCGATGCTTTTCTTGTTCACCTACTATGGTAGCATACACAGAGCAATTAGCTTCTAAAATGGAATTCAGAGTAGTGAGCCGAGCAGTCTTCACTGTGGGCGCAGGCATGACAAGGACAAGGACCAAGGTGAGCCCGTAGGAAAACAGCTTGCCAGTCGGGCGCCCAGCAGCGGAGGGCAGCATTGTCCTGCCACCACAGCCTGGGCCACATGGTGGCCCTCTGAGCTGTGTGCTGGATCACCGTCTGTCCTTACCCCCCAGGCCCCAGAAGTTCCTTCTGGGTGCTGAATATTTGCAGGTGACACTGTGACCCAGTCCCGTCCTGTGGATGTACAGGTACCTGTGTCCGTGGCAGGTGGTTGGGATACATTTTTCTTAAACACAAGGAAGGATTTACTCCCATGAGTATGGCCCCTCAAGCCAGATATGTCCCAGGGCTAGGTAGCTTGGTTACACATATTTCCTGTGGAACCTTTTGGGAGGTCTTTTTAGAATTTCCTCCAGAGTCTGTGACATTTAAAAAAGAAAAAGAAAATAAACAACCCTGAGCTGCCGTAAGGACATCCTGGCTGTTTGGACTGGCCTTTGGGAGATTTATGGAAGTCAGTCAAAGATGGACAGTGATTCTGAGGCCAAGAAATAAGATGTTTGGCCTGAGAGAGCGTATCAGTGATGAAATAATTCACTCTTGTGTGTCTTGTCTCTAGACACATTTCCAGAAAGGTCGTTAGCAGAGGCAGCATAACTGGAATAGGCGCTTTCTGGTGTGTTTAAGAAATGATAGGCTCCGTAGCAGGATGTGTGCAGTGTGTCTGGCATTCACTGAAGTTCTTGTAGCTAGCCTGAGGGTATGTCTTTAATTATGAAACGGAGAATCAGCCACATCTAATACGCCTTGGGCGCCACACGATACAGCTCCCAGTGCCATTTGGACAAAATCATAACCTCGGCTCATCCGATCCAGTACACCATGATCTAAATTATTAACTTCCAGCTGCAGAAGTGGTCCTGCTCACTGCCCCGCAAGTACCTTGGGCACCGGAGCACGTACTGCAGGGTCACACCGCCTTCAGGTCCAGGGGCTGATGGTGGGCAAGGGCAGGCTTCCCCTCCGTCCTTGGCCTTGCAGGCAGCCTTCTGTGGATGAGGAGCCTGTGCTGAGTGAGATTCAGGCTCCACGCTGGCATCGCTGGGCCCGAGGGAGAGCACAGTTCCCTGTGGTCGATGGGGACTTAAGTCCCAGTTTTTTCTTGATCCCCCAAACCCAATGGAGTTATGTCTTTGTCACATACATTTTAGAGTGCCTGGATGCTTACCAGTTGGGCTGCTAAGCGCAAGGTCAGCAGTTGGAAACCCCCCCAGCCACTGTGAGGGAGAAAGACGAGTTAGCATCTCTGAAACTCCCGGGGCAGGGCTGCCCCATCCTATGGGGGTCACGCTGACTTGGAATCTGCTTGATGGCAGTGAGGGAGGGCAGTGCAGATGGATGGTAAAGTGCTTAACTGTGCACCCAAAGGTGAGTGGTTAGAACCCACCCAGAGGTGCCTCCCAAGGAGGACCTGGCAGGACAGGGCCGCCCAAGCTGGTTCTGCACACCTGGGGCTGTCAGGAGTTAGAGTGCACTCTGCAGCAGTTGCTTTTTGGGGTTTTATGTGCATTTTAAATAAAAGAAGATCTAGGCTACGAAACGCGCTGAAATGGCCTTGTGACCAAGAAGGGATGCAGATGTTCCCTGAAGGAGGAACACAGTGGTGTCCCGGCAGGGCCCAGGACAAGGAACTTTGTCCCTGCTACGAGGGAGTTCCCCTTTAACATGAGCCACTGCTGCCTGTTGGCCGGGGCAGTGGGCTCTATATAGGGTTTCTGAGCCAGGCCCAGGAGGATCTGCTGTCTGGGGAGGGTGCTCACGAGGTCCTCTTACAGCCGACTCCTGTTTCTGCCCCAACCCCCAGTGCATTCCCCGGAGCCTGCCTGGCCTTCTAACTTACGCTGCCCTTGGGCGCCCTTGGCTCCTGTAGGCCAGGGGATGACTGCCCAATGGGCTTCAGATGGCACAAGGGCAGCGTGAGAAAGCCAGAGGTTCGTAGCTGTGCAGAGCCAGGGCTGGCCCATCTGAGTACTTTTCTCCTGGCCCACAATAGAAGTAAGGCCTAGCTTTCCTGAGCCCCCATTGGCTGCTCACCAGTGTTCAGACATGCCCTTCCTTCATTTCACCCCAGTCAGGTCTGGGGGAGGGACGACACAGGATTGTCTGGTGTGTGGCTGAAGCTGCTCCAGAAGCCCCCAGTGACCCTCAGAGGGACGCCCTGCAAACTCCCTTCAGCAAGCCCCTGCCAGTGCAGACTGAGCGTCCAGCCCTCAGGGTCAGTGAGGGACATTGCTGTCAGATGAGATGTTTTATTATTGTTTAGTAAGAAGACGATCTTCAAATGTTTACTTTTCCAGAAGCTTCCTGGGTTCTCATGTCAGTTCCTTCCTAGATCCCCTAGGGACTTGCACCTTATGATAGGTGGCTTTGTCTGTGACCCTCGGGTGTGCCGTATGGTGAGACATGTTAGCTAGGAAGGTGTCTTGGGTCAAGAAAGTCAGAAAGGCATCATGGTTGTTGAACTCAGCCAGAGTCAAGGACTTGCCTGAAAATCCCTGCCACTGGCCAAGAGGCCATCATGTCTCCCACAAGCTGTCACCTCCCCATCACAGTCATCCATTCCTCCCACTCACCCCTCCCCTGCATTGTGTAGACTGCATCACACACCCACCGCCTTTCCTTCTGACGCATGCCCACAGCAAGCTTCTCTAGGCCTGAGTCCTTCATGGGGGACTTGTCCCTGAAGAGTCTCCTGAGCAACCACACCGATCCAAGGACCGACCCCGGATTGGGCTCGTCCCGGTGGGCTGGGTGGGGGGGTGATGCAGGGTGGTGCGGTGGCTCTACACTCTGACCTGTGTAGCTGAGTGTCCTCTCTGAGCGCCGGGGTGGGCACGGTGGTGACTCTCCCTCTGTTCAGTTGCAGGCCCAGGGCATACTGTCTGGCCGACAGCGACGAGGAATCTTCCAGCGCTGGCTCCTCCGAGGAAGACGACGCCCCAGAGTCCAGTGGGGGAGACAAGCAGCTCCTCCCAGGGAGTGAAGGGTGAGTGGGTCAGGGCGGCCAGGGTGCCCAGGAGGCCTGGGCGGCATGTTGAGGGAGAACCTTTTTTCTCCCTCCCTCATGCAGAATGAGTGGGTTTCCTATTAATGCCCACTGCCAGAGCTTAGGTCAGTTCTAGTGCCCAAACCCAAAAGACTAGCTTTCCTTGAGAAGGTCGCCAGCAAGATAACTTTCTCCAGCCCTCTGAGTAAATCAGCAGGAGAAAGGGCGAGTTTCTCCTGAGCACATCTGGATCTTCCTGGGCGCATGGATGCTCAACACTTCCCCCTGGTGCTCGCTGGGGAGCATCATTCCCTTCCTTAGTCCCTTTGCCTGTGGCCGAGACTGGAATGACCCAAGTACTAACACCAGCGCTCTGTCAGGATCTTGTAATTATGTCAAGTGAGTTAAAGAGACTTTGGTTATAAAAAAAGCTGGGTGGTTCAGGAACTTTTGTGAGAAAATGCCGGCCTATTCACGTTTTAAATCTTAGGAAGGATGAGAAGAGTGTAGACATTCGAAGAGTTCAAGCTACAGTTGCTTGTTGCTTTTTCTTTTGTAAATGTACCTGCTGGGCTCTCTTAAAGGAGCCGGGTGACACAGTGATTGCACACTGGGCTGTGATCTGCAAGCTGGGCAGTTTGAAACCACCAGCCGCTCCTCAGGAGAAAGTTGAAGGGTCCTAGGAGCACCCACCAGGGCAGTGCGTGTGCTGTTGGGGTGCTTTTCCCCGCAGACGCACAAGCCTGACTCCCTGGAACTATTGGTGGAGCCAGGATCTTCTCAGGGCAGGTTTTTGGTAGCTATGATTTGATGCAAAAACTTATGGCTGGACTGCTAGTGTGTCAGCCTGATGTAGCATTTTTCTTTAGAAGTCCCGAGTCCTTTGAAAAGTTGTTGCCACTCAAAGTTGGTGTGGCATCAGCTAGAAGGCAGATGAGCAGCTTATCACCGCCTTGTGTACAGGCAGTGCAGCACGGCTTAGTGTTTGATGTAGCGTAACAGGGAGAGGTGGCTCTCTCTAGGACAGTGAGTCTAGGTTCAGTTCTTCTGAGTGGTTTAGAAGAGGGTATGTGAGAACCCTTCTCCTTTTGCCATCTTGTTTGGTTTCTAGAAATGTTTTCCCCGATTCTTGCTTCTTAACACCCAAAGAATTCATGCAGCAGAAGCACTTTTTATAATCAAGGAACTTTTATGAGGGAAAGGGAAGTTTTTGGCTAGTACTGTCTCAGATTGCACACGCACTGTCTCTGGAAAGCATATGAAGCCACATGGGAGGGGGGTGTGGGAGAGTTCGAGACTGAACAGGGCCGTTAAGAGTAGGCTGCAGAGCTAAGAGAGGAGTCCCGGAACCTAGAAACCCAGGTTGACCTTCACTTGCACTTTGATGACCTTGGTCTGGCCATTCCCAGCTTTGGATGGTCCCCATTGTTGTCTAGTGTGTGCCTGATTTCTTTCAAACCCCCCCTTTATTGGCATGGCCAGCTAAGTTTTATTTACTGCAGGCTTGCGGTGGAGACAACCCTCTTTTGTCCCTAATCTTCCCGCAGGTCAATCTGAGTGTGTTGTCTAACCCAAGAATAGGCTCTGACATTGACACCTTCTCCACGGCAGTGGTTCACCCTCGCCCGGGACATCCCACCATGATAGAAGATCATCAAGATTGAGGGATGCTATTGATGTAGCGGGTAGAGGCCAGGGTTGCTGCTAAGTAGGCACAGGACAACCCTGTCACAAAGACTAGCCCAGTCCAAGAGGTCGTTCGGACTGCAGTTTACAAACTCTGGTGTAGAGTGAAGTAGAAGAAAAACCAAACTGTTTTTGTTTGAAAAGGAGCAAAATTTCTGCTACTGATCCTTGTGTTCCTCATTTCAAGGTATGTTGGAGGTCATCGAACAAGCAAGATTATGCGATTTGTAGATAAGATTACCAAATCAAAATATTTCCAAAAAGCCACAGAGACGGAGTTCATAAAAAAGAAGATTGAAGAAGTTTCCAACACGCCCCTGCTGCTCACCGTTGAAGTGCAAGAATGTAGAGGCACCTTGGCGGTGAACATCCCACCACCCCCGACTGACCGGATCTGGTGCGTGGGGGCCCCTCTGGGGTGGCAGGTGGCTCCCTTGTTGTGTGACAATAACAGTCCCTGCCTGCTTAGCCTGGAGATCATGCAAAGCACCTTCTCCTGGGCAGCAGAAGCACTTTCTAGCCTTTTTCATGAAACCATAGTGTTCGCTGTAAACACGGTTCTTCCTTCCATGAACGGCTGGTTCGTGTTTAAAGATTCACCTTAACACGTTGGGAGCCGTTCAGGTCAGTTGCATGAAGTTGATGAGGTGAGCTGCTTCTGCCCTTCCCCTCTCGCAAGGCAGCTCCTCCACCAGCACCAACAGCTACCCCGGTAGGGCCCTGGTTCTACCCCAGGCTCGGTGGTGACTGCATCACCTGGTCAGCCTGCACAGCTCCCTGTGTGGATGGTGGCGTTGTTCCCAGAGGTGGGGTCACATCCAGGCTCAGGGAAGGCTTCCCGGAATAAGGCCTCGATGTTGAGGACCAAGAGCATGGTATCTTGGCCGGCAGTCTAGTTGGGAGCTGTCACCAACTGATCCAGTTATACACAGATAGACCCAGTCACCCCTCCAGGAGTCTGGACTCAGCCAAGGTCAGGGACCACTGAGATCCACCCTTGCTGAGTTGTTGGTTGGAAAAGATGCTTTGAGGTGTGGGCCTGAGTGCACAGTGTCTGCCTTCAGCCGCGCTCAGCCAAACCCAGCCGCCAGCGCCCCTGGGGTTCACAGGGTTTGTAGAAATCATCAGGTGAAGGTTTTCCACTCGGCTCACCATTTGATGACGGAAAGGCGGTTTCCCAATGAAAACTCCTTTTCAGATTTTGTTTTAAAACATTTTTATTAAAAAAAAAAAAACTAACAAGAAAATTGACGACATCCACAAGAAAACAGCAGTTAAAACTCAGAAGGACAAACAGAATCCTGCCACCCACGAATAGCCACCACTAATGCCCTGATGTACAGGCTTCTAAACCTTCAAAGAATCGCTTTTTGTTAAGTAGGCGGGCTGGTCCCACCTGGCTTCTTCCTGTACTTCTAAGCCTCTGAAAGCTGTTGTCCAGCGAAGGCCCTCTAGGACAGCGGGCTGAGCCAGGTGCCCAAGCCACCAAAAGGTGCTCACCCACGTTGAGGGCTTAGAAACGTGCACTACCTTTTGACAGCTGTGTGATGGCTCTCAGCATAGTGTTGTGACAGATTGGCCGGTTGGGGTCAGTAACGAGCACACCATCCTGCATCTGAAGGCTTTGTGAAGAGCGCCAGCCTGGGCCATCGGGAAGCTGTGGAAAGCAGGGCGTGAATGGCAGGCTCTGGAACATCGTCCACCGACAGGTTCTTGTGGAGTGGACATGGAGCCAGCCCCCTTCTCTCTGCTCTTGTCTTGTCTTTCTGCTTTATATACAAAACCAACCAAGCCAAACCCGTTGCCTCCAAATGGAGTCCGGCTCTTAGTTCCCCTGTAAGATGGAGTAGAATGGGCCGAGAGGGTTTCCTGGGCTGTCGTCTTCAAAGAAGCAGCCTGCCAGGTCTCCTCTTGCCAAGTGGCTGCTGGGTCTGAACTGCCAACCTTTCCGTTGGCAGCCGGGCATGTGACCAGTGTGCCACCAGGGCTCCTTCTCCACACAGACGCTCCTCTTAGAGAAACAAGGGGAAGGACATAGGAAAGATGAAGACACCCAACCGGGAGTGGGCCATGGACTTTGCCAGGAGTGCTTCCTGGCTTTCCCAGCTCTCCGGCCCACTCCTGCCCTGAGACCCAGGCAGGGGCACAGGGAGTTTCTGCTGGCGCGATTGCGGAGGAGCTCGTTGAGAACAAGGGAGTATCTCAGGGCTAGCCCTTCATCCCGACTGAGGCGTGTCAGGTGGGCCCTTGGAGTCTTCCTTCTCTGCTGCTGATGGTGCGTATTCTTTGTTGTCTTCACAAAGGTACGGGTTCCGGAAGCCTCCGTACGTGGAGCTAAAAGCTCGGCCAAAACTTGGAGAGAGAGAGGTGACGTTAGTTCATGTGACAGACTGGATCGAGAAGAAACTGGAGCAAGAGTTTCAGGTAAGCCTTTTGTCTTGGTTTCCCCGAGTAGAAAAGCTGCCAGGGGGACAGGTTCTGACTTTGTTTTGAGTCAGCATCTTCTTTGGCAGGTCCAGTGGACCTTCCACCTGGAGCGGTGCATGTAAGGTCCACCATACGCCTTCAAAGACCCTGCACCCTGTCTCCAGGACTCTGTGGGGGCCCCTCCAGAGGGAATCCAAAAGAGCAAACTGACAGATGTTGTACATGCTCTCCAATAAGACCTTTTGTAGAAAAGCAAACCTTTTCTGTGAGTAGGCTCTCCTTGGACCTGGTTTTTCTCCAGGCCTGGGTGGATAAGCTCGGAGTAGCCACACTATGTTCAGGGAAGTTATTCCTTGAAGTTCTTCCGTAAGCAAGAATACCTCCTATCCTGGGATCCCAAGTGTGAATCGGCCTGCTCCTTCTCCCCAGGCACTGTAACTCACTCTAAGCCCGTTTCACTGTGTGCAGGAAACAGCAATATTGAGATGAGGGAGCTTCCACCAAAAAATCCATGGGAAACTGCATCTTAAGTTCCTGTACCCCTGCTATTTCCATCAAGTTAGGGCCAGACGTCAGAGGCACCGTTGTCTTTGAAGGAGCTCTTTTTATGGCTCAGCAAACAATTTACTTTAGAATGAAATGGACCTTTTGAAGAAGATCCACATTATTTTTGTGGTTGTTTCCTTGGGGTGGGGAAAGGTCCTATTATTTAAAAGCTGGAGATGAAGCAATAGCTGAGAATCCATTCTTGAGAAGTTAATTATTGCCAAATGGATAAGCACTTTGAACCTAGTGAGGAAGGCAGCCTGTGCCCTTGTTATCTCCCTCGACCCTGCCCTGGGAATGTGGGTGGGTGTCCGGGACAAGGAGCTGAGGTGGGTGCCTAGTGCTTCTGAAGAAAGTTAGCAAGCTGAGGATGACTGCAGCAACATGAAGATTGGAGGCATTGCCCAGGCACGTGTTTGAAGTCCGTTTGTCATCCCGGAAGCTGAGCACCATGACTGTCCCCTGCTGACGGTCCTTCGAATGTTGGGCTGTCGTTGGATTTCCTTCAGCTAGCTTTGTGTGCTTCTGGTTTGGACAGAAAGGGAAGAAAAAAAAAGTAGCTTACCCTTTGTGTTGGTAGGAGTTAGAGGACAGATTCCCTTGTGTTTGGGACCCAGTGACTTGGTGATCCTGTGAGGAGCCATTTCCCTCAGTGTTGTTGAATCTTGGCTCATAGGAGTATTTCCATTGCATGTCCGTGAGAGCAGCGCCTGCTGCTGCCTCGTTGTGGTTGTGAAGTGCCCCCGAGTCAGTTTCTTTTCTTCAATTTAAATCTTTTCATTGGGGGCTTGTACAGCTCTTATCGCAATCCATGCATCCATTGTGTCCAGCACATTTGTATATATCTTGCCATCATCCTTTTCAAAACGTTTTCTTTCTACTTGATCCTGTGGTTTCAGCTCTTTTTATTTCCCTCCCTTCCACCCTCATGAATTATAATTATTTTCATATCCTACACCATCCCTATTGTTATATATAAATATATTTACATATATAAATCTGTACATGCCTGTATTTATGCCTCTATAAATGTCCTTTGCCTCCTAGTTTTCTTCTATTTCCTTTTACTTTCCTCTTGTCCCACTATCATGTTCGATCATTCAGCTTTCAGTAATTCATCTTGGCTATATTACATTTGATCATAACCCACCAGGCATTCTATACTGCCCTTGCCATTGATTTTAGATCACATGTTGTTCCCTTGTTCCTGGGATTGTTGGTTCCCACCTTCCTTTCCCACACCTCCCCTTCTCCCATCTCACCGGTAATTGGTCTCATTGTTTTTTCCTCGGGATTGTTCATCCTGCCTATCTTATAAAGATAAACATGAAATTTTTAAAAGCCTATAAATAGTTCCAGGTCTGTTTGTTGGCCTTTATGAATGTTTTCTGATGGAGTCTGATGAAGTGCCGAGCCATGCTCCCTAAGTCTATTTTTGGGATTCCTCGGGGACTTCATTGTTTTGCTCCCCTTGCTATTCTGTTGTACTCCCTTCCTGTCTCGCCCTGGTGGGGGTGGGGGAGTCAGACTCGGCACAATTCTGGCAGTGGGTCTCCAGTGCTGTCCCCATAGCACTATGGGTCAGTGAAGGGACGCTTTCTCGTGGTGGGACTGGCCCTACAGTCCTCTGTGCACTGGCTGTTCCGAGCAGGATGCGGTTTGTTCCCTGCCCTTCTCCCCAAGCGGTATCTTCAGTTTTTATCGGGAGGGAGTCCATGTAGCATGTCACCAAAGGCCTGATTTTCCAATGACCCTTCACTTTACCGAGCATAATCCTTCTCTGGGGTCTCGACCCTCTTGAGAACATGTCCAAAGTACATCAGCAGCATTCTGGCTGTATTTTTCCCCTGATATAGATGTGTCCATGGTATACTTCATAGTCTCTGCCAGTGCCACCATGAAAAGCATCAGTTTTTCTTCAGTCTCAGTCATTGCTTAGTCTTGACATACACCTGAGGTGGTTGGAAATCCCATGGCTGGGGTCAGGTTCACTTCCACCTTCAGAATGACACTTTGCTGCTGTGCACCGTCAGTCTTGTGCAGGCAAATGGCCCCACAGGAAGCATCGTGCATCTTCTTGACTGCTGCTCCCATGGGCGTTGCTGTGCTCCCGCACTGACATGGTGATTCTGTAGCTAAATTTAAAAGCCTGGGGAATTTATTGGAATATCTAGGAAAATTGTTGCATGTGCGTTTAAAATTCTTATCTACAACCTAAAATTAGTACTAGAGCCATGAGCAACATCCTGAGATAACGTTCTTCCCTGGCTGATCTCTCTTTCTGCAGAAAGTTTTTGTCATGCCAAACATGGACGACGTCTATATCACCATAATGCACTCGGCCATGGACCCTCGATCCACTGCCTGCCTCAAGGACCCAGCAAGGGAGGCGGCGGAGCAGCTGTGACAGGAGAGCGGCCATTCCTCCCAGTATTAGGAGAGCTGGGTTCCAGGTGTGGGAGCTCACGGCTGCCAGCTATGCCGAAGTCCTGGCCTTCACCTGTGCCACAGCTGCTGTCTCCAGACTACTTCTGCCCTCTGCCTGCCGGTGCCCATCCCACTGGGAGGTGTCATTCCATGCAGCCAGGGACTGGTGTCTCTGGACTGCCTGCTGCAAAGCTTTGGCTTAAGGAGCCTAAGGCCGAACATCACAGAAGTTACCAGTGACTCACATGGGGGGCTTTCTCAAGCCTACCAGTTTGGGGAGGGAGAGGCAGTAAAAGAGCACATTAAGAGCAAAGCTGCCCCCGGGAAGGCTTCCCCTTGCCTTCACTCCAAAGCTTTACCTCAGGCAGCCAGGGCACCACAGGACATTTTTTTTTAATCACGTCTCCAGTTTCTCTCCGTGACCACCTGCCATCCTCCACACCAACTGTGGGGAAGCACGTGCAGGGTGGGCGTGGGATCTCACGAGCCATTTCATTGATGGTGAAGAGATGTGCATAGCAACTCCCTCTTTTCCATATTGTGCATTTTGGAAGCAAGTAGCCATAGTACACACACACACACACAATCAGCTGGGGTGGGGGCGGGGGACTGATGTCAACATTAGGCAAAGCCATGAGATCAAACCATCCCAAGCCTTTACCAGTGAGGTACAGACACCTGCCTGTGTTGTAGTTGACCCCGAGTGTTTTCAAACATGAGCACACATGAACTGTCCAGTTGTCCCTCTCCACTGTGGGGCAAGAACCTGGCACATAATGTCTGCCCCAGATGTTAGAGGGAACCAACAGCTGTTCTTAACCCAGCGGTTTGGGATTGTTTGGCGGGCAGTTTCCTTTTCCAGTGGCCAAAACGGAGAACTGCCCTTCCCAGGCACCAAAAGTTTCCCCAACATCCAAACACTACACATCTCAGAAATCAATGTGACCTTTCCTTCATGTTGCCAAGTATATTTTTTGTGCATTTGTGTCAGAATGTTTAGTTTACATGTTTTGGGAGCTCCCTCTGATGGTGTAATTTGCTTTGTGGGGGAAGTAATTAACTTTTTTTTTGAAGCTGCATTTGACATCAAAATTACCTTGAGTAACTTTTGATCATTTCCATCTGTGGGCAAAGCTAATAGTGTTTTGTTTTAAAACAGCACCTTGCCTGAACATGAATTTAAAGAAATTAATATATTGATAAAATATATTTGAGACCTTACTGGATTATTTTAATTGCACCATTAAAAACATTTCAATTTAAATTATTTGACCATTCCAGCCTGTGTACTGTTCTCATTGTGGAACTTGGTTTACCTGTCAGGAGTCCACATGTCTTGGTCACTGGTCTTATTTCTTTGTCCAGTAACTTAGGGCAAAGGACTAGATGCACTGTGGTGTAGAGATGACCTGACTGTACCCTATTGCACTTAATCAGATCCTATGTAGGGACTTATCACTGCTTGCATTGTTTCACAAGTAAATCTCATCAAGTACTAGATAAGCATCTCATTTCCTGGACTGGATCTTGGCTAGGAAGAGGGAATACAGGGTACAATCATCAAATGTTTGCTCTCAGGGGTTGTCCCACCTCCTGATGACCCTAAGCAGGCAACCAAATGGAGCACACTGCCCAGTACCTTCCCACTGGCCTGGACCAGTTATCTGGTTCCCACCAGGCCTTTCTGCAGCGATTTAACGCCCTGCAACTTCCAGAACCGTGTACCCTCTGGCTGGGAACCAAACCCAAGCGTCCCTCATGGAAAGGAGGTGGGGGGGGGCAATCATACCCGACCTGTAGCCCACAGTTGTGCCATCTATGCAGTACTTACCGCGCCTCCCCTAAGTGGGGGGATAGCAGTGAACCCACTGGGGTGCAAAGGCCTCTTTCTCCCTGTGTCCACATGGCTGGCAGGAATGCACTGCTGGCCTTGATGTTGGCAGTCCCAAATACAACCCCGCCGCCAGGTTGCTAGTTAATTTCAAATGGCACGGGGCCAGCATAGGCTTCCCCAGTGAACAAACGAGTGTCATTGCCCACCTGGAACATCAGGAGGGATGTCCCTGAGGGAGGTCCTCATGCAGGTAGCAAGAGACCTTCAATGAGCTCCAAGGCTCGTCCAGGAGGGCAGAGACAGGCTTTTTTACACATAGGATTTCTACGGGCCACCTTGTAAGCACCTCAAAATTATCATCGGACATTCCAAACTAAAGCTTGTAATTGAGCGCCCCCCCCCCCAAAAAAAAAAAAGCGCTAAAAGCTCCAGCCCCAAATGTTAAAGTAGGCAGACTGAGCACATTTAGACTCGTTTGGTCCCACCGAAGGTTCCTGCGCAGGCCCCATGCCCAGGGGCGGGCAACGCCTTGGCACACCGAGCAGAGCCGATTAGTGCTTCCACCCACTGCCTGGCGACAGTCGCTCTGGGTGGCCGTGTCGCTCGCGGTTAAAAGGGCCGCCCGCAGAGGCTTGGCGGCCCCAGTTATGCGCCAGCACTTGCTCTGGCGCTGCAGCTTAACCCCCCGCGCCACGGGCCGGCGCGGCGGGTTCAAAGGCAGCGCGAGGTCGACGACAAACTCCGAGAACAGAGAGGGTTGCGAACCAATCACTTTATTGACTAGCGGCTTGGGGGCAACGAGGTCCGACGACGGCGGTCCGACTGAACCTGCAAGAACAAGAGCGGGCCGTGAGCCGAGCGATCCCCAAAGGCCGCCCCCTCCCCCTGCCGCCCCGGCGGCCCGGCTCAGACTCCAGTTCGCATCACCCACGTCAGCAGTCTAACACGTGCTTCCATTGGGATGTCATCACCGCGGGCCGCCGGCCTCCCACCCCGCTCCCAGCCGGCCCGGCCGGGGAAAGGACGACATCCCACCTCACCTCCCAGCCGCCGAAAGGCCGAGCCGCCGCTGCGGCACCGACTTAAAGGGGCGGACGGGAAGCGAGTGGGCGGGCTTTACCACCCTTTAACCAATCGAATCAAACTTCGGACCACGTGCACGCAAACGCACCTAACGATTGGTCGTGCTCCCTGAGTCCTCCAGGGTATAGAGTGGTCCCATACCAACCATCGAGGCGGTGCCTGGGGAGGAGAAAACCAGTTGTGAATTGGCGTTCCCCCGAGTTTATGGACGCGTCGGTATTGCCGGCTTGTCATCGCACGAAAGGAAACTACAACAACCACACACACACACCAACCCCAAGGCGTGGATTCCAATTCATGAAGACCCTATCACAGTGTTTCGAGACTAAATCTCGACGAGAGCAGAAAGCCTAACCTTCAGTGAGTTCCTGTTTATTACATTCTCAGCAGCAATGAATATGGAAACTTCTTCACCAAAACTCAAATCCATTGACGTAGAGTCGGTTCTGACAGTCACCCTGTGGGGCACAGTAGGACTGCTTGTAATCTTCACCAAGTTGCCAGGTGAAATTTGTCTCCTATGGCGTCTGGTGGGTTTGATATTTGGGTTAACTGTAGCACTTAACCCTTTGTCCCCCGGCGCTGCCTTCTATTAAGTTTTAAACACCAAACCACTGCCAGCTAGTTGAATCCGATTCAACTGGGGGGTTTGAGACAGTCAATCTTCTCTCCCCTTCAGAGTTGCTGGTGGGTTTGAACCGCTCACCTGGACGTTAGCAGCCCAAAGCCTACCCACGCCTAAAATGGACTGAGCATGTAAAGGTGAGCAAAACTATCTCTGCTCCTGAGCTCAACGGAACTTGGTGTAGCAGAAAGCGATGGTGCTCTCAAAATCGACATTTTTGCAGTCCAAGGCTGCCTTTGTAATGAATCAATCCATGGGCACTTAGCCTCTGCGAGACTCAATTTCTGAACAATGAGACTCAATGAAATTGTAAGGATTGTCAATCGGCTAGCACATTCTAAGTGGTAAGGGTGTTTTTAATAGACCGGAGTGATTGCAATACTTTAACAAATGCTGAAAGAGACCCATGACCACTTGCTGTGGATACACAGGGAGAGATGGCCCAGCTTTGCTTTGGGGACAGTTAAACATGCTTTTGAAGGTTTATTGAGCCCATGCTGTGACCAGGCACTATAGGGATAAAAACATGGCCCTACTTCTAAGAGCTTGCTTTGTCCTGAATTTGTCATCAGCAGCCTTCACAACAGCCCCAGAGAGCTTACGATGGAGTTGTTGGTAGCTGCCCCAAACTGGTTTCTGCTCAGAAAACTACCTCCTAGCATTTTCCAGGGTAAATCTTCTTTGTCCCGTGGAGCCGCTAGGTTGTTTTGAAACTACCACCTTTGGGTAGCAGCCCTAGACAAGGAGCAGTAAACACAGCCAGCCTCTGGTGTCCTAAAATAGAGGTGTGCACTGAGGACCACTGGGTCTCTGGAGGGAGGATTAGGGAAGTGTTCCTGAAGGTGACATATATTGAGTCCTGGAGCAAGAAACCTGAGGTGTTTCCAGCTACAACTGTGATGAATATATGTGTACCTAAGTGCACATCTCTGATGATCTCCTTAAGCTATAAAATTATTGGATCAAAATAATAAATAGCGTTAAGGTTTACTGATGATACTGCCAGATTCTTTTCTAGAAACACATACACACTTGGGGAAAAAAATCAAACCCACTGCCTTCAAGTCAATCCAATTCAAAGCAATTCACTAGGACACAGTAAGGTGTAAATGTTCCCAAAGCTGACTACCACATCTTCCCATGCAGGAGCTGGTGGGCTTGAACAGTAGACCTTTGGTTTGCAGCTGACCCTTTTACATGTATGCCACCAGGGCCTCTTCTTGTGGACACAGTTGGATCTCACTGCCTGTTGAGGAATGTTGTTGAAGTCTTCCTTGTGTATCTCTTAGTTGGAATCACTGCCTCACTGACATCCTTGCCATTCCACCTTGGTCCCTGCTCCCACGTCTATCTGGCTTTTCCTCTTTCTTGCTCTAGACAAAGCCCCAAATAATCCTTGCTGAAAACGCATAACCACCGCCAGGGCTCCTACAGCCTGCCTTGGCGCTTACCTTTCACTGACTTGTCACTTCTTTGATATTCCCTCGGGGCCCCAATCCTTTGAGCTCATTGACAGTGGTTGAAGGAAAAAAGAAAGAACAAGTGAAGGATAATTATCTGTGTAGAGGCTTAAAAATAAAAAGCCATCAACAAGTGGCTGACTAAACTATGGCTAAATCTCTTCCTGCTCTAAAAGTGGGTTCTACCCCTTTATGTTCCAAATTAATTTTTAAAATTTTATTGGGGGGCTCATACAGCTCTTATCACAATCCATCCATCCATCCATTGTGTCAAGCACTGTGTGAGTCTGGGTAGACTAGAGAAACAAATCCATGGGCACATATATGTGTATTAGAAAGAGAGTTACATACAAGAGTAATTGAACATTGAGAAAACATCCCAGCCCAGATCAAGTCCATAAGTCCGATATTAGCCCATATGTCCGGTGCAGCTACTGGGATTAACTAGAAGGAGGCATGTTTAAGAGCTGCTTAAGAGACGTTCCAGGGCAGTCCTGGGGAGATAAACCAGGCCCGGGAGATTAGGAGGGACCCTCTTCAGGAACCTGAGCCCACCGATGGCAGGGGCTTGGACTGGGCTGTCCCAGCAGAGCAGTGGACAGAGTTTCTGGGTTAGTTTCTATGTTAGTGCTGCTCTAGCCCTTTAAGAAATAGTGACAGTTCCTATGCAAGGCGCCTTCTGATGACAATGGTTATGTGCTCAGCTGCTAACCAAAAGGCAGGTAGTTCAAAAGCAGTCGGGCTCCGTGGGAGGAGTCGGGAGGAGTCCCGGGGCAGGTGGTTGACTGCCTTCCATCAAGACTACAGCCCAGAAAGCAGTGCTTCTCCGCCACCAGGGTCTTAGTGAGTCAGACTCCCGTCGATGGCCCCCAGGCACAAACATGGAAGGGTGACACTTCACCCTGGTGGCATGTAGACTTGGCACCGATGGGGATGGACCACAAAATGACACCAGGAGGCTTCACATGTTCGTTGAAGCAATCCTCCATCACCTCATATTTACACACACACACACACACACACACACACACACACACACACACACACACACACACGGGAATGTTGTCAGCATTCCAGGGGAATATCAGTCGGGGGCTACAACGTGGTGGTCAGTTGTGGTTATTCTTGGCAACAGGAGAGAGGGCCCATAGCGTGACTCCATGGTAAGGGAGCCCTGCATTATCGCCTATGATTGGTCGCTGGTGGGAGGGCTGCCATTCACTGGCTGATGATCAGCCTGAAAGCTCGCTGAAACCCGCTCAGAACCCTTGCAGTGCCAAGCCTGCACTGACAGATGGATGCTGGTTAATGCTTAGGTTTCTTGACCAAGAATTGAACCTGGTTCTCCCCATGAAAGACGAGAATTTTCCCACTAATACCACACACAGATCTCATCTCAGTACCAGGCCCTAATGCTGTGGGCCGGAACAAGAGGGACTAGTAGCTAATGGTTTTACTAGTTCTACTCACACAGTTAGAGGGACAATGTCCCCGCTAGACAAATGGTGACCTTGAGTCAACAACTGGTTTCGTGTGACTTTCCAGGCTTCAAACCTTCAATGTCAATGTCTCTTCTGTAGAATGGGCTGGTAACATCTTGTCGAAATTGTCGGGCAGATAAGGTGGGATGAGTCTATAAAGCAGGTTTCAAAAAGTCTGTGAAACCATTTCATGATCTTTAATCCCACAAACTTTTTGAAGTCCTCTCATACTTGCAAATTGCTAAACAATAGTAAACACCCACTGAATATTCAAGGACCCCTAGGGGTGCCGTGGGCGTGGCAGTGAGCTGCTAGCTGTGAGGTCAGCAGTTCAAACCAACCGGGCGCAGCGGGGGCGAACAGTGAGGCTCTCTGTTCCCATACAGATTGACAGCCTCAGAGATGCATGGAGGCGGTGCCATCATCCTCTAGGGCTGCTTTCAGTCTCGGGAGTGGGTTTGTTTGTTTCTTTGGAAACAAATATCAACTGTGATACTGAGAAAGCTTTGCCAAGAAGGCATGTGGGGAGTGGGATTCTGGGTAAAGAGAAGTCAAATCCAGTCCTCCCAGAACAGAAAGCCAAAGTTCCATTTACCCGAGGCACCAATTGCCTTCGGTGGCAACCAAGTTTCCTTTTCATTTCCCTTAAACATCGTGGCAAAGAGGGGATATTCATTTAGCTTGCTGTCAGAGGCTCTTCCTCAACCTTTTATTGATCCCATAAGGGCCTCCTAGGTGCTGTCAGTTGGTCTGCTTGGAAGTAGTAGCAGCAGATCTCAGGGTGGGGGAGGGGAGAGCACAAAAACCGAATTTATTTATTCTGAAGGCTCTTCTCTTTTGAGATGTTACTAGAACTTTCTACCATGAACTCCCTTTCTGGTTGTACCCGACTTTCAAGTCGGCTTCCAAGGGAGCTACTCTCCCACTACCAGCCAACCGACCTCCAATCAGTTGTAAAAGGAAGGGACTTTACCCAATGAGACAAGCACAAACGCCGTTAAAAGCTGGGGCCTAATCTCGGCCACCAGAGGGCAGCATTTGCCAAAATAAAAAGGAGTCTAGGCCACTGCGATTCACAGGGCTTGTGGGAGCAAGGAGCCCTGGTGCCCTGGAGGGTTACCATGTGGGCTGCTAACCTCAAGGTCAGCGGTTCAAAACCACCACCAGCTGTTCCGCAAGAGAAAGACAAGGTTTTCTGTTCCCACCAAGAGTTATGTCCTACCTGGCCCTATAGGACCGCCATTAGATGGCAGTCCACCAACAATTCTGAGGGAGAAAGATGAGGTTGTCGGCTCCTGATTACAGCCTTTATAACTGCTCTCAGTTTAGTGTGTGTGTGTGTGTGTGTGTGGGATATCAAAAGGCACTGGGCAAATCTGCATATTTCAAGAACAAAGATGAAAGAGCAATGATGTCCCTTTAAGAGCTAAGGCAGTGGTTCTCAACCTTCCTAATGTAACGCTTTAATGTAATTCCTCATGTTGTGGTGACCCCCAACCATAAAATTATTTTTGTTGCTACTTCATAACTGTCATTTTGCTACTGCTATGAATTGGGCAACCTTGTGAAAGGGTCGTTCGACCCCCAAAGGGATCACGACCCACAGGTTTTTGAGAACCGCTGGGCTGTGGTGTACCTGGCCTAAACCATTATCTTGTACATAGGGTCAACTTATATATGTAAACCTCGGTGACAAAAAGAAGGTGTGTCTTTACACTAAGACGTGACCTTTGCCTTGTTGTTGAGTTGAGGTGCTGTTGATCAGTTCCAACTCTCCCTATGTACAGCAGAATGAAATCTTGCCCAATCCTACGCCAGGGGGGGAGATTGTTTTTAACCCCCCTGGGCTTTAATGATAGGACATATATTCTCTCATGGTTTAGGAGGCGTTGTTGTTGTTGTTGTCAGGTGCCATGAGTTTGGTTCCGACTCATAGTGACCCTGGGTACAAGAGGACCAAACAGTGCCAATCCTGTGCCAGCTCACGAGTCTTCTTAAGTTTGAGCCCATTGTTGCAGCCACTGTGTTCATCCATCTTGTGAAAGGGTCTTCCTCTTTTGTCACCGCCCTTCTACTTTCCCAGCCTGGCGTCCTCCTTCTCCAGGGACTGATCTCTCCTGAAGGCCTGTCCAAAGTTCTGTTGCCATCCTTGCCCGAGGAGCATGCTGGCTGTACTTTGTCGAAGGCAGACCTGTTTGTTCTTTTGGCAGTCTGTGATACTTTCAGTATTCTTCGCCACACCCTAATCCATGCATCGGTGCTTCCTTAGTCTTCCATATTGCCTCAGTACATGTATGTCATTTAATAGGACTTCCAAATACGTCACCTACCACTCATTTCCATATTTCTCAGACGAGAAGGCCTGTTGTTCAAAGACGCGCTGAAGAAGCTTCCCTTTCTGTCCTGGGGGTGCATCTGTGATGCCAGCTTCGGCATTATCAAAAGCAAAAAGGCTTTTTTTCCGTGTGTGGCATTGAGATTAAAGCAACACCCCTATAAATAAAACCAGTGCTTATCAGTCTGAGCTTGCCAATCCCGTGAAGCTCACAATACACAAGAACAAGTTACTCTACTTAGACTTCGAACTGGGGTAGAAGAAACCACGCGACCTTGAAACAGCACAGTCAGGCCTGGTGACCGGACCCAACACCTGGCTCAGCCTCTGGGACGCTGATTTTTCTCCTTTCCAGGCTCTTTACGGATTTATGAGGTAGATGGAAGTCAGCATTCCCCTTTGCGTCTCATTTGCTGCGCACACAAGGGTCACAGTGACATTTTGAATTGTAACAAAGCAGCCAGAGTTCCAGGACTGAATGTTCCTCACCTTGACCTCCCCTGTTTGACACACACACACACACACACTCTCTCTCTCTCTCTCTCTCTCTCTCTCTCTCTCTCTCTCAGGGATGTGAAAGTAGTGATTTTCAGTCAAACTTCTCCTTTAACTCAGACCCTGTGGTCAGCTTGCAAGCTGGACAGGTGATGCCATACATACTTGAGTATAAGCCGACCCAACTATCAGCCGAGGCACCTAATTTCACCACAAAAACTGCCTTAAAAATGTGCTGAAAAATTCGGCTTAGACATGAGTACAGACAGTAATTAAAGAGTCCCTCCTGATGTCACCGGACACGTGACCACACTGCCCAGCAGCGATGGGGCCTTGTCCTGCACACCCCTCTCCCCGGCCCCAGCCTCTCCCTTTCCACTGGGACACGCAGGCAACCCTCTTCAAAACGTGTCCACCGAGGTCACGGTTGCCAAAATTCATCACACCCTCTCTCTTTCTCAAAACATGATTTTACGCAGCAGTTTCAGTTCCCTTCCCGCAGTTTCTTACCCAAGTGCTGGGGTGGCACTGCTTCCACCTCCACAGTGTGGACACTCTCTTGATCGTGGGCTCCTGCTTCCATTCCTCTCCTCTCCCAGCCCCTTCCGGTCTCGTCTGCGTAGGAAAGTAACTGTTGTTGATTTAGTCCCAGGCAGCTGATGTTTAAAAGCAGCTCTGTACTTTTTATTTGTTGAGCCTGTTGGCTACATACAAGGTGACCCTGGGGGTTAGTTCCTGTTCAGGGTTGGAAACGTATGTCAAGGCAATAAATAGCCTGAGGGAGCCTTCAAGTCACAACCAGTCAGTCTCTTTGCTTGTCAATTGTAGAAATTTGAGGGTTGAAGCCACCTTTGGCTCCCATTTCTCTCTGGGCCGGTGGCTTGTGGTCCTGCCACTCTTTAACTGGTGTGCCGGGTTCTTCAGCCACAGATGGATTTACGTCCCTTAACTGAGATAGATCCGGGTTCAGGGGCTGGCAATGGGCTCTCGCTGCCTGTGAGGAGTGGCTGGATGGTGCAGCCCCGTTCATGTGCTTGGTTTCCAACTGAAAGGTTGGGGGTTTGAGCCCACTCAGAGGAACCTTGGAAGAAAGGTTTGGAGATCTGCTTCCCGGAAGCTCTGTTCTGCTTGCATGCGGGGACTGATTCAGTGACGACTGGTCCCGGCTGTGGCTCATATGAACATGTGTCAGTTGTGGCTGGGTTCGATCCGCGGTGCATCAAGTGGCCCGTCCCCAACCCCAAGACTTCTTTGTGGTTTTCTCTAGCCATGTTTACTGCTTTCCCTCCAATCCTGAAAATCCTTAGACTGTCATGGGAACAAATCAGACACAGACAAAAGTGGGATTTTATCTTTTTCTCCTAGTATGCTATGTAACCCCTGCCATCGAGGCTTTTCAACTCATAGTAATCTTAGGTAAGGTTTATGAGGCTGTAAATCTTTTTAAATTTTTATTATAATTGGGAGTTAATACATATATCAAGCCATAGTTCAAGCACGTCAAGCAGAATTGTACAGATGCTACCACAATCAGTTTTCCAAACATTCTTTTTCTTTCTGGACTCCTTGACATCGTCTCTCTTTTACCCTACCACCACCACCACTGTAACTCCCCCACCCCCCACCCCAAAACCCTTATTCTACTTGCTGTCCTTATAGGTTCATCAATCCGGGGGTGTCATATATCGAAACACCGAAAAACATATAACAGCTTCATAAGGGTGGCCTCCAGTGACATAACACCTCTGAGATATACCCTAGTAGGACAAACAAATATAAAACTACAGAAAACGTTGAAAACCAGGTCAGGTCCAGCATGCATCAAGAGGGGACCAACTGACTGACAGAGTTTTAACTGTTTGAATGAGGCTGTAAGTCCCTAAGGGAGTGGGGACCCTCATCTTTCTCCTGAGGAGCTGCCGGTGGATTTAAACCACTGACCTTGTGGTTAGCAGTCAGTCCACTGCTTCCCGACACTGCCACCAAGGTTCCTAAGACCTCAGAAGAATGAGTCCATTTGAATTGTGGTACTGGCCGAGAGGATTTAAAGCACCGTGTACTGCCGGGAGGACAAACAAATCTGTGTTGGCTGAAATACAGCCAGAACACTCCGTAGAAACAGGGGTGGCGAGACTCCGGCTCATGGACTTAGAACATGTATCAGGAGAGGCCAGTCCTTGGAAGAGGCTGTCATGCTTGGTAAAGGAGAGGGGCGGTGACAAAGAGGAAGACCCTTAACAAGATGGATTGACACAGTGGCTGCAACAAACAAAACGAAAAACAATTGTGAGGGTGGTGCGGAATCAGGCAGTTTTTCTTCTGTTGTACACAGGGTCGTTATGAGTTGGATCCGACATGATGACACCTAACGGGAACAACCTATGTAAAATGCCTTTTCAACACATGCCAGATGTGCGTGACACAATGGATGTATGTAGGGATTGCGGTAAGAGTTGCATGAGCCCCCAATAAAATGATTTTTTTAAAAGTAACATGCCTTTTTTGGGGGTTTCAAATCTTAGTTTATTCTGTCTTGATACAAACCCCATAAGTGACCCTCTACCAGCTCAGTGAAACCAGTGACCAAGCAGCTTCCAGGTTCTCAATTCAGATTAATAGCCTATAATCCTCAACTAGTCCCCCCCATAAGTCCTCCATCTTTCCCAGTCCCTGTAATCATAGGGTCTAATGAGCTGTTACACGTCACAGGACCCATCTACAAAGAACAAGGCCCCCACAAGCACGCAGGACACGAGGAGCCCAACGGAGATCCGTCTGCATTGATTTTCGATGACTTGGCCTTGGTTTCTTCCAGAGGGAACTAACTGATGACTATTGGACATGATATGAGGGGAATTCCTGGGGCTAAGGATGGGAAGGAGCGGAGCTTCGGATTAGATGAGGCACAGCTGCGACCCCCCTGCTAGCTGCTGAGTCCTTGCTCTGGAGGTCACCTGGGTCAAGTGGCCTGTGATACGAAGACGAACCCCGGAGGGGTAGCTCAAGGGCACCCGGGACCACCCCTCTCCAGGTCCTCGCTTCTGATCACGTCTGATGCAGCGGGACTCAGGGCAGCCTTCGTGGCGGGACTGCTGGCTTCCTCCGCCTCTGTACCAGCTCCGCACCTCGCCCCGAAAGCCCGGAGCTAGGGCCTGCGTTTCAGTCACCTAAGCCCCCCAGAACCCGGCCGGCCTGAGGTCCACTCCGCCCTCGGCCCCGCCCCGTTCCCGCCCACAGCAAGGGTAGCCACGCCCCAGGCCACGCCCCTCACCGCTCTGCCTTTAAGGCCGTCCGCTCCCGGGCCCGCCCGGATCATGAACAGCCCGCCTCCGACCACGCCCCTAGCCACGCCCCTTCGGCGTTAGCGTGCGCTCGGACCTCTGGACCGGCTCCAGGCTAGCCCCGCCCCGGCCCTGCCCACAACCCCGCCCCTACCGGAAGAAGCGCCGGCACCCCGCGCTTATAGGGCCGGGAATGGGGATGCCGCCGCCACCTCGTCAGCCCTGCGGACGCTGAGGCCCGGCCTCTGCCGC